GCAGTTAGTGCAGGGAAGGCCAGAATTGCAGGAACCTGCATGGATTCCACCGACTTGCGCCACAAGTGCAAGTGCTGCGAATGAGGGTGCGGCCATGCAGCAAAACAAAAACCACCACCAGCTTTGCAGGCAATGCTGAGCACATTTCAGAGCAAATGCCTCTTTTTTGTGGGTCGAGAATGTCAAGTTCTCAAGGGTTAACGTGCAGGCAAACATATCATATAGGCCATGTGATGCTGCGTGCCTTCCTCCATGGACTCAACCAGCTTCATAAAATTACAGTGGTTTTGAAGGCAACGACTTTGCGTATCAAGTGATTGCTTTTTGAAGTGATGCTTTCAGGCACCCCGGAGATGGCCTTCCTCCGGCGTGAGGGCCGCCAGGCGCTGCACCAGTGAGCTAATAGATGAGAAGCGCAGCAAATGGGGCAGGGTGGCCCACTCCTGAACAAGCTGCTGGGTGATGAACCGCAAAGGAATGGAATCCCAGGGAAGTCGTGGTGCATGCCGATGCAAGTGTATTGGATGGCAGGGGCAAACTAGCCAGATGTTGTCAGCTGTATTGGAGCGTAGCAATCAAATCACGGCGCCAAGAAAGGTGTTGTGAATGTAGAATCAAACGGGAAATGCGTGAGATGACTTCCTTCGTTGACCTTACATATTCCAGAAGCAATTGGGATCAAGGATCATCGTGCGCAGTACCATTCTTGCCTGAAAGAGGACCGGAAAGTGGTCCCTGCGCTGAACGCCTGTTTCAGGTTGGCACTTGATGAACTAACGTAAGCAAATCCAAGCGTCAGTGTACTGGTACCAATACCGCCTGTCGTCAATGAAGCGATGTATGGACCAGGATTGCCTCGTCTCGCTGCAACAGTTCGAACTATACTGGTTTGGTTAAGACTCATTTGTGCCATTCATGGGGTGATCAAGCAGTGTTTGCTGGCGACCTGTACCTCAGGAATCTGTCAACATTGTGGCAGTTGTGGCCACCGCAGCTTTCTTAATTAGGGTAAATGCCATCAATACACAACTGTGTGAAGTTCTTTGCGGCACGCAACAATCCCGTCCATTACCTGGACATGTGCCCATAACACCAAATGCCTAATTTCCATGCGGGCCAAACGCCAAAGCAACCAACATGCGGCGCACAGCCGTCTTAGCTGAGGTGCAGGTAGTTGGTGGGATGGAAAGGATACTCCGCCGCGGGCCGCCGCAGCTCTGCAGGGGCACGGAGCAAACAAGAGGCCTCCGCATCGTATCCTGGAAACAGTTGCGGCTGCTTGTGGCTGATTGTGGCTGAAGCTGCAGAAACGCTATGACACACTTTGCCTAACATGAGTTTTGGCCCAACTTGAAGACTTGTAAGACTTGCCGCGTAGGAATTTGAGTACAGCTTTGACTTTTCTGGCAGGGAAGCTCACCTGACCTGGCAACAGAGCATATCCGACCCGCTTGAATTCGGCTCGCCTATCTTCCAAAGATCGAACTTCGGGGAGTTACAATCGGACGTGTCGACATGTTTTGTGCCTAATTGGAACAATCCCAAAACAAGCACTCAAACACCACACATACATGCATGTACATTGCATTGCGTTCCGTCACGTTGCGCTACAGTACGTATGTAACACACATAACCTAACATAACATACCAGAACATACCATACATAGCTTCAAATTACATAAACACATACATTCACATTTAACACAACTCAGCTCATGACAATTGTAGAACCCGGGCCTCCGAACGTGCGGCTGCTCCAAATAAACTTCTGGATCATCGGCTCCTGCCCATGCAGGGTCAATCCGATACAAGGCAACGGACAATAAAACCGAGTCTGCTCAGGTTTGCGCTGGCATCACTTTTGCATGGCTGAAATGCACTGATGATTAGTGCAACCCTCTGCTGCGCCTCGGGCACAGCCGCGGGGATGCTGGCAGCATAAATGTCCGAGAGCCGGAGAGCATTTGGCCCATGTGGCAGAAACACCACCGCATGGAATTCGGCAATCCTTTGCTTGCGCATGTCAAGTCCGCGGATCCCCTGTGTACTGGACATCGCACTGGGCTCCCCTATCATGACAAAGGCAACCCCGCTGTCGATGTTGCAATCCAAGCTTCTTCTCGAAGGTCACAGCACTCTTCAGGTCGTTCATGTCCATGATCTCCACGGGGCTTGGCACTTCAGCCACAAACATGCGCAAGGCGCTTCGGAAGGCCAACCTGAGACTTCAAGCTCAAAACTGGAGACCGGTCTCCAAACGTGACCGAGATTGGTATACTGTCCGCTTAGTTTGCGCCTGAAAAGCAAGTTCACACTGTATGTATGTCGTTTTGCGCATTAAACACTCTGCCACAACCTTTGCCATCCCCAAATAACTCTGACAGTGCCGAGGGACGTATTCTGGCGATTGTTGCGGAACACTAATGCCCTGCGCGTCTCTGATGGACGATACCTGGTGGGTCGGGTGCTGGGACGTTGACCCAGGCCACATTGGTTGTCTGAGCATGTCAACCAGGCACGCTTGCGACCAAAACCGTTCAACAACTTGGCAGCATCGCCACAGACATGAAACCTGAGGACTAACTCTGAGGCAAATTGTTTACAGTAGTACTAGCTTTGCAAATTGCCTAGTTGATCCGATACTCCTGCAAGCTGCGCAGGACACGGGCTTCGACCTATTTCTGATACGGCAGCTTCTACAACCAGCAAAGGCACGCACGTGCTTTCATGCAAAGAAACCACATGAATACTCGGAGGTGCTTGATGAGGCAAACCTGAAATCCTTACCGCGCCTGGCATCCACACCAAGGCCGACGAAGGGCACGTAGGGCAGGCGCCAGCCGCTCTGGTAGACTACCTGCGCTGGAAGTAACCTGATTTGTTGGAGGGGGTGAACACACACACACACACACAAACACACGCGCAGGAAAAACATGTCGGCTGCTCGGTGCTGACACTCCTACAGACTCCACATAACTGCATGAAACCAGGCCCACACTTCACAACCCTACGCTTCCAGGCCGTACAGTAGTTACGCAAACTCCACGCTAGCCCTTTCCCAAGCGTTCCTGTGGTGTAAACCATGCCTCCGCTGACCCCAAGACTGCTCCAACTTTGACCGATGGCAACGACGCACGCATACATGCACATCATCTGTGCACGTGAACACGCGCGCCCCCAAAAAAAACACGCAGATTCACGCATTGGTCCAAATAAATTGCAGCCTTATGTACATGCACAGTGCATACGCACGCGTGCACGCGCGCGCATGCAAACATAGGCAGATGCGGACCCGTCAAAACGGGAGAACATACCATGACACCTCAGTATCAAACAAACAAAATAAAATACTTTGCAGCACAACATAGCACGCACACAACCATCAATCATGTGGCACCGCGGGGCTGCTACCGTGGCTATTATTATGTTGATGAGATCTGGCGAAGTCGGCCATTTCTCAGGGAGTTCCTTATTGCCATCACTTCTGCTGCCTGCCGTTCAATGTTTCCAAGCAAACTGACATCCGTTCACTGACTGATGTTGCCCGCCTGCGCTTGGGTGATGCGGCAGCTAACAGAGGGAATCAGTGTGCGTGATTCCAGCATGTGGTTGAAGCGAGACCAAAAGCTCCACAGGTCTTCAGGCCGTGTGCTCGGAAACCTGAGTCAGAACAGCTGGGTGAGCAAGGGAAGCGGTACTATGATACCATGATTCAATCTTCCTGTGTGCTAAACGTATGGAATTGTCAGTCAACCCAACAATCAACCAAGGCAAACCAACAGTTGGAGAGCCCCAATACATGAATGCTCAGGCGTGAAAGGGTCTCCAGCTGGATGCATTCAACGCAGTCACACAAAACTTGGCTCTAGCGGGAGCTCTGTCTGATCTTTGGCTTGGAGTTGATCTTACTTGCGATGGTGCATCAGCTAACAGAAGCAAGGCCCGCAATCGCACCTGTCAGCACCTCCCCCCAATCCATGCTGCATGGAAACTCGTTGAGGAGTGCCATGTGCAGAACTCCAACCATGGCCTGCCCAGGCCTGCGGCAAAGGCTGTGGGGTAAAGGCTACTTCACATAGCTGGAGTGCTGTCTCCACCAAAGGAATTGGAGCAAACTGTGCTGAACGCCATGTTGCATGTTGCGTGCCACGGTGCTCAGTGTGCCTTTCATTCGCGAGCGAAAGCAATCCCTTGTATTATATGATGGCCTCATGTGATTCATCTTGTGTCCATCTACTGAATCCATCTGTTTATCTGTGAACGAATCAGAATTGGGGCCTCTCATTTCCAAGGCGATGAGGCTCCCTTTTCCTTTCCCAATGCTGAGACGCTTGCCATGGCCTGAGCTCCAGGTATGGACAAAGCCACATGGGCTCGCTGCAAATCACCAGCTCCGCTTCCCGCAGGCCCGGCGCTGCACGCGGCAGCCACACCTGGCTGAACTTTTCGACTGTGCAGCTGCCTTTCAACTTTCACTTAGATGCCCTCAGCAAACGCGACTCAACCAGGTCAATTGCGGCGTGTTCGTGGTTACAGTGCTTTGCTGCTGTTGCGCTGCCGTTGCACTGCTGCCTTTGTTCGCCGCGTTGTTCCGCTGTTGCGCCGTCGCGATTCCACACTGCTGCGCCACTGTGCTGCTGCGCTGTTTGTCTGCTGCAGCGCCGCTGCGCTGTTTCGCCGTTGCGCGGTTGCGCGGTTGCGCCGCTCCGTTGCGGATTGCGCAGCTTTCCGCGGAGTAAGCTTACCAAACCAGGGGCTGGTGCAGGTTCAATCTTGAAGTCAGCGAGCAACCCAGCTTTGCGGAACAATGGTCAAGCGGGCAACGGAACGGAGCAACGGAGCAACGAAGCAAAGCAGCATTGCGGCAACGGAGCGGAGCAACGGAGCAATGCGGCTTTGCGAAACAACGGGAACGGAGCGGAGCAACGGAGCAACCGAGCGAAGCAGTTTCGAACGACGCGATTTGCGAGAGCTCGTCACTTGGACAGATTGGCAGGAATGAACACATGGCATGAGACCTGCTTGGCATTGCTGGACCAAAGTGTTAAGCGTGCAAATCTTGGCAACACAGAGTACGCCGGTTTTTGACCATCCTTTGCATTGGCTTCAGAAACCTGAACAGGTCTTCCATGAAGGCAATTGACTATCACACACTGCTTATTTAGGGTCACCAGCATCTGAATTTGGCCCTGCGCTGCCTCCCGTCCCGAGCACCTTGCCAACTTCCTCCATGGACATCTTGCCCTCTTGAACGTCGTGCCTCATGGCCTTCAAGGTCTTAAAATCCTGAGCGCAGCACTCATCATCCAAGAAATTAGCGCATCGCCTGTTGGGCATGTTTTGTATATCGTTTTTGTTGGATGCAAGGTGTGAGGAGAGCAAGCAAACCAGTCTCTGACTGCAATGGAATATTCAAAATATGTGAGACCAACATCAGTGAACAGTTGCCGTTAGCTTCTTGGGAATTGTCAACAACGATCAGACAGGCTCAGCCTGCAGCAATGCCTCTGCTTCTTTGTCAGGGCAAGACGCTAGCTAAATATCAGTACATACCATATTATCTGTCTGTAACAAATATACAAGTTCCTTGTAGCGCCCGATAAGCAGCAAACTGCACGCCATTGTCAGCCTTGTCCTTGTCAGAGTCAGCCAGCTTCCAAACAAGCTGCAATCTCCTCATGACCTTCCTCGCAAGCCAAATGCCAAGGAGTGCGCCAGTAGCTGTCAGCCTTTTGTGGGTCAGCGCCAGCTTTCAGCAAGCAATGCACAACTTTTAGATGGCCACCTTGGGTAGCAACATGCAAAGGCGTGAGCCAGTCAGGGCCGGCCTTGTCCTGGTCCGCGCCAGCTGACAGCAAGCAACACACAATTTCCTCATGGCCATGCTCGGCTGCTAAATACAAAGGCGTACACCAGTTGTAGTTTGCTGCGTCCTTGTCAGCACCGGCTGCCAGCAAGCAACGCACAATTTCCGCATGACCATTCTCGGCAGCATTGTGCAAGGGTGTGATCCACTGGTCATCTGCCTTGTCCTTGTCAGCACCAGCATCAAGCAAGTAGCGCACAACCACCTGATGGCCATACTCAGAGGCAACATGCAGTGGTGTATGCCCGTCCTCGTTGACCTTGTGTGTGTCAGCGCAAACTTGCAACAAGCAACGAACAATTTCCTGGTTACCACGTGCAGCAGCAATAAGTAAAGGCGTCGACCCATAATTGTTGGCCTTGTCTGGGTTAGCGCCAGCTTCCAGCAAGCAATGCATAACTTCCTGATGGCCACCCTGCGCAGCCATCTGCAAGGGTGTGTGTCCACACACATCAGCCTTGTCTGGATCAGCACTAACCTCCAGCAAGCAACGCACGACTTCCTCAAATCCATTGGCAGTGGCATACGAACACAAAGACATTTCGGAATCAGGGTCAGCAAGACTTGGATCCAGGGGCTCTTCCAAAAGACGCACCAGCTCAGCAAGGTCGCCTTGCATGGCAGCCCTAACCAGGTCAGCCTTTATTTCAGCCATGTCCACCTTGAATGGCCGAACGAGGACAGTGAAAGGCCCCACATTGTTCCAGGAGTGTTCCGCCTCCAAATCAACGCACCCACGCATGATCTTCAGCTGCCGAAAATTGGGAAGACCTCGGCGCCTTGCCACCTCCCGTCTCAGCTCATCTCGGAAGATGGCGCCGCCTTCCCGCCCTGACTGATCTTCGAACCAGTGAGCAAATTGCTCCACTGTCATCACCTCCTCCCCACTGACTGCCATGGTGACCACCATTGAACCCAAACGAGGCTGGGCTAGCCTTTGCCCTCTGCAAAACGTTAACACCGCAATTCAAGGGTTGACACCAAGTTACAATTTGAATTAACCCTTGAATTGGCATGTTTTTATATCTACAGGCCCCAAGCGCCCATTGCATCTTAAGACTTGACTCTTGGAAATCCTACAGCCTTGGGGCGAAAGGCGTAAAAGGCAAGCGCACCAGCTGTTTTGATGTTGCCCATTGTCTTGCGAAAACATGCGTCGCAAAAGAGTCGTCCAACATGCATTTCGTTGACAGCCCTCTTCGGCTAGTTGCTCTCAACCATTATCCAAGTTTCTGCCTTGGTGTGCTCCATCAGCCAAGCACCAAGGGCAGTACCTCTCAACGCCTTCACCTCGGCAACATGACCCACGCGCACACACACAAACACACAAACACACAAACACAGACAAACAGACACACAGACACAGAGACACAGAGACACAGAGACACAGAGACACAGAGACACAGAGACACAGAGACACAGAGACACAGAGACACAGACACACACAGACACAGAGACACACAAACACAGAGACACAGAGAGACACACAAACACAGAGACACAGAGAGACACACAGACACAGAGACACACAAACACAGAGACACAGAGAGACACACAAACACAGAGACACAGAGAGACACACAGACACAGAGACACACAAACACAGAGACACAGAGAGACACACACAGAGACACACACAGAGACACACACACACACAGAGACACACACAGAGACACACACAGAGACACACACAGAGACACACACACACAGACACACACAGAGACACACACACACAGAGACACACACACACACACAGAGACACACACAGAGAGACACACGGAGAGACACACAGAGAGAGACACACAAAGAGACACACAGAGAGACACACAGAGAGACACAGAGAGAGAGAGAGAGACACAGAGAGAGAGAGACACACAGAGAGACACACAGAGAGACACACAGAGAGACACACAGAGAGACACACAGAGAGACACACAGAGAGACACAAAGAGAGACACACAGAGAGACACACAGAGAGACACACAGAGAGACACACAAAGAGACACACAGAGAGACACACAGAGAGACGCACAGAGAGACACAGAGAGAGAGAGAGACACACAGAGAGAGAGACACACAGAGAGAGACACACAGAGAGACACACAGAGAGACACAGAGAGAGACACACAGAGAGACACACAGAGAGACGCACAGAGAGACACAGAGAGAGAGAGAGACACACAGAGAGAGAGAGAGACACACAGAGAGACACACAGAGAGAGAGAGACACACAGAGAGACACACAAAGAGACACAGAGAGAGACACAGAGAGAGACACACAGAGACACACAGAGACACACACACACACAGAGACACACACAGAGACACACACACAGACACACACACAGAGACACACACACAGAGACACACACAGAGACACACACACACACAGACACACACAGAGACACACACACACAGAGACACACACACACACAGAGACACACACAGAGAGACACACAGAGAGACACACAGAGAGACACACAGAGAGACACACACACACACACAGAGACACACACACACAGAGACACACACACACACACAGAGACACACACGGAGACACACACAGAGACACACACACACAGAGACACACACAGAGACACACAAAGAGACACACACACACACACAAGAACCTTGAGCATAGCTTTAGCATTTGAGAAAAAACTGATTCAAGAACACAGATCTTGGATCTTGGATCTTTGGGGTTTCTGAGCTATCATTCATGCCGGGCTCTGGCTTTGTGCTGCGAGGGCTGTGTAGTGCTTGCACGGTGCGGTGTGCTGATCAGCCCTGTGAAGCGTTTCTGCATTCTATGGCCAATATACTATCCGCATGGCGGCGCTCGCGCCTGCGTGAAGAAGAGCTCCAGCTGAAGCTCCGGCTCCGGCAGTTGCAAGCCCCACAAGCCGTGCAGAGCTGCCTCAAAGCGGTGGTTCCACCGTGAGTACTATCAACATATTTTGCTGCATGTTTGACATCAAACTAATCATGAAAGGCTGGCTGCAAACGCAAAGTTGCTGCACGGACGTGAACACAGGACTGCAGCAGCCATTGTCTGGTAGACCTGCTTCTGTCATCGAGCATTTTAAACGCTGGCGCTTGCATGCGCTTTCCACAGAAAGCGCGTGCAATCGGCTAGTTTCACGTTGAACATTGCGTGCGTAAGCTTTCCTGACCATCAAACATCACACAGTAGGATCTTCTTCCACCATCTTCCACCAACAACAGAACCCGACACCGAAAGTCTCAGAGGGGGCTTCCCTTGGTGTTTGCGCATCATGGAGCGTCTGATGTATTGGAAGTGCCCATCATCTCTCCATCCCCCGCAACGGCACGCTTAGACTCCAGCCTTGATGCTCGCTAGCAACTCGTTGGCCGTGCCGTCGTGAAACTGCAGCATGGCAATCCTGGCCGCCCGCATTAAGGGAGCAACAGGATATAAGCAGTCGCGAATCTTGCTTGCCTATTCTCATTTCGGACTCGATTTTAGACGCGTCTTTTGGGGGACCATCTCGGCTTTGCTAAGGACCAGCGCGAAAGTACTTATAGGACAAAAGTGAGCCGCGATCCCTGCCAATTTTTTCCTGTGCGCCAAACAGGGTGTGTTCTCTCCCCATGTCCTCAGACTGGACCGTTCACAAGGGCCATGGTTCTCTTCGTGAAGGCATCCAGATCGTTCCGAACTCGCTTTGAACTGATTTTGAGCTGTTGCTTCTTTTCTAGCCTTTTTAATGTCTTTTTCGCCGCCCCAACAATGCCCTGAGACCTCGTGAGGAAGACTTGCAAGAGCACTGCAGTGGTTGCTGCGTTCTTAGCTTGCGCATCGTGCAGTCTACTGCCTCACAGCTATCTAGGTCGGGCCAATGGCGGGAACCTGCAAAAAGCTTAGGTCTGCTCTGTCACAGCTGGTCGGGCCCGGCCACTGGTAACAAACTCAAAGTCTGGTCTGTCACAGCCGTCACTGTGATTCAGTATTGTTTCATCTCGTCTTGTATGGATTGCTACAAAACTATCTCGTCTTGATCTGATTGATTTAGGGGGCGACCATCTCTTCCGCCACATGTCAAGGTCACTCACCTACACAAGCTAATCCATAAATGCAACAATACATTGGATCATTCCTTTGAGCCTCCAAAATACACGGCCGCCAAAGTCCTTCCATTTCCGCTACGACTCAGCAAACCATCGCGCGACCCCGCGGGCCTTAACGGCCTCGCTGCGCCCGCCCTGGCACCCGCCTGCGGTCTCAGCTCTGCATTGTGCCAGGGTTGCAGCTGCGGCAGCGGCACTGGATGCTCTTCCTCGAAACCATGTTGGGACCGGAGAAATATCAGAATTGAGGCTGGCAATCCAAGCACCAAACCGCTCAAACCAAGCCGGTCGATTCTGGAAACTACTAGCAATCCCAATTTGCAGCAAACTGCAAGGGGATTGATGATGTCAAAAGCTGCGTCCTGGTACTGTGAGAAGGACCCATAGTGTTTCTCCGCGCCCAGGTTCACTGCTATGTCGTAAAGGGAGAAGTTCCAGGAAGAACTCTCTAGAAAGTCCTTAGCTGGTTGATGCGCGGGCACTCTTTTGCTGTGCCAAACCTTCCAAGCGACTGCCTGCCAAGATGATACTCAAACATCCTCCATCATTGTTCAGAGCTATATGCATAAGTTCGCACAAAACAAGTAGCAAAGAACAAGAATGCAAGGATGGCCTCGCACTGGTCACAGCTGTGAACTCCACATCTAAAACGCATCTCCTCAGCCCTGCAGGTGCGGCATGCTTTGATATCCTTTCACTCGCCAAGGCTGACATAGTTGACATAGGGACACCATGTTCCCCGTGGCTTCACAAAGAAACACACAAAACGACAAACGACAAAACAACGCACTCATATTCCAGCGAGCTTCGTATGTGTAGTATGGGGCGTGCAATAGAACCTCGATGGTAGCTGTCATGGCGTTGGATACCTGTACGAACCGCGAGAGGTTCCCAAACACCCTTCCATCTCAACCAGCATATCAGATCTTCTTAGCTTACCATACTCACGTAATACCTAAAGCAGCTGTCAGGCATTTAGGGCAAATCCAAATGGAACATGATTTACTCCACATGACCTGCAGCATCGTAATTCGTGTCGTTGACAAGCTCTTCTCCCGCGATTCTGTGCCAAAGCTCCCATTGCGGCAGCACTCCAACAGAGTTGCTTTGTGCCAAACATGAATTCTAATGCAGGGAATGTGCTTGCAAGCGCGAGCCCTGAACCAAAGTCAGGCTGAAAGCCGCTATTGGACTGGGCAAATGGGGAGCATGATCACGGCTGGCCTCATCCCGGAGCTGTTCTCGACCCATGAGCTGCAAGCCCACCAGCACGGCGTATTGCTGGGCGGGCGGGCAACCCAATCGGAGTTCCATACTGGGATTATCATCACTATATATAAATTATACCCGTTCCTCGGGCTGAGCAAAGGTATTTGTCATTTAACACCATGGCTCACTCACGGGACTCAAGCTGAAGCGAAAGGGTATGGTATGACTCAAATGATGCCAAATTGATTCAGCGCGAACTACGTTGCTATTGCTGTGTTTGCATTGTCTGGACACAACATTCAGGAAACCGTCTCTGATGGCTGACTATGCAGGCAGCTGCCAAGTGGCGAGGTGGCACATTGACATGGCAACAGCAAAACCACCGCTCTTGAAATCCGTAGCGATGCAGCCCGACAGCTTTAAGTACGAGAACCCACATTGTCAACTGGTCCCACCTCTGTTCGTGTTTTCTGGACGCGGCGCCGAAGCCAGCCGAGCTGCCAATGCCATGAAGCCGTAGGCGCAGTCCAAGTCTTGGACTTCTCCAGGCTCCCCGTGCCTCTCTAGGTACTCCGAAAAGCCTGGGATTGGAACAAAGTCGCAATCTAGAATGCGGCTCAACCATTGAATGGGACATTGGCACAATGGTGCGGCCTCCCCCCGTTTGTGTGATTTGCCCCCCAATGTCCCTCCCAACTTGATCTTTGACTACTGGATATGTCAACTGAATCTCAAATACCTGCAAGCATCTTCCGCCGCCATGTAGCATGCAGCTGTACACGGAACGATGCAATTAATGGCACTGCAAATGCATCATTAAGCGCCGAGGGGCTGAGCTCGGAGGACGACTCGACTCCAAACAAGCCCGCGAGAATCATAACCTGCGCAAGCCGATTTGATAGGAGGCGCATGTTCACAAATTAGAATGGCTGACCACCCAACTCTCCCTTCCACGCAAAAGGAAGCGGACCAAAAGGCCAGTTGTGAGCTTCCTTACTTTCAAGATCTTTCAAGCTTGCAAACAAATTAACTAGGCCAAGCCAGCACTTGTGTCACCAGCGAAATCACCATTGTGCAAACTTCTAACGCTACGCGGCGAGAGCTGCTCACCTGCCTGGCGGAGCATCCAACGGTCCACACCCGGCGACACCTGTGACATCGTTGATGCTTGCACACTCTCGGCAACCTGCCGTGAATACAAAACCACCCGCTTTGCATTGTAAAGGTTGAATTGTCAAAAGCATGGGCGTGCGAACTTGCAAGAGGACGCTGAAAAGAAACCTTGTTCTCATGAAGCTTGACGCACCTACCTTGGAACACAGGAGGCCAGGCGCCTGCAGGGTTGTGTGCCAGGCCATATCCCTGATCTCTTCTCCGTACGTGAGATCCAGCCTCAGAAGCTCACTGGCAACACATGTGGCTACCATTTTTTTTGAGGGTCTGTAACGCGCGAGGCGCCACGAATCTTGTTACAAAGGTGTGTAACGGGGGTCCTTGTAGCGAAGGTCTGCAACTGCCAAACATTTCTTGACAAGTATCAATAGGCGACCTCCATTTTTGCCGCTTGGCTTGCGTTAAATCGCTATAACTTTCAAACTAAAGCTGCGGAGGCACGCGTTGCTGTGCTATGCCCGTTACAAAGCCGTTACCTCATTACAGACCCAGCTCTCTGTTGTTCTGCGCTACATTTTGCCCGCGCTGGGGTTGGGTCTGTAACGAGGTCTGAAATGGCTATGTAACGAGGCTGTAAAGAGTCATAACAAGGTGCAGTACTCAAAGCGCGCCTCCGCAGCTCCAGCTTGATTGCGCCCATCCGGCAAGCCAAGCGTCGGCAAAAAGTGGTCGCCGGCCCGGGGTGGGGTTGGGTCTGAACGGCAACGCAACGAGGCATGCAACGAGGAATAGCAGCAGGACGCTGTTTTCTTCTGGCCCGGTTTCAACTTTCCATCTGAATGGCAAGCTCTCTGAAAGTTGACTCTTCCGCACAAACATGCTCTGCAAAAGCTTGTTCACTGAGAGTCTGGGCACGTGTTGAGGTATGTAACGAGGGGCATGGAGCCAGCCAGGCGGTTTGTTCACGTGAGGTGCGTAACGAGGTCTGTAACGAATGTCCGCCCCGGCTCTGTTACACACCGCTCGAATCAAAAATTCACTGCTATGTGCGCGCGATGAGAACTGCACTCCCCCCTCCCCCCCGCCCGATCAGCACTGCGCACACACGCCTGCCAAGTGATCAACGCACCAATTCAAGACCGTCCGCTCAGAGCTGCGCCCGCGCCTCCGAAATGATAAGCGCGCCCGCTCAAACGCGCTCCCACTCGAGATCAGTACTACACGCACGCCTGCCAAAGGATAAGCGCAAATGATAAGCACGCCCGCTCAAGAGCACGCGCGACTTCCAAACAACAAGCCAACCCCCCTCTAGAGTCTTGCGCGCGCCGACATCTTCAAATGTCTGGAGACCGAAGGAGACGTCCCCAAAACAAGAAAAGGATGAAGATCCAAAGAAGGAGGGATTCATAAAGGCGCTCAAACACCAGTCTTACAATGTTTCGGCGCATTTTTGGACGCTGAGACGTCTTTTTGGTTGAAGGGGGTGGATGCTGGGTCGCGCGCCTTTGTTACCCTGGCAAGCGCGACCAACCGTTTTCAGAGCAAGCCTGCGCAGACGACAAACGGCTCCCAAAAAGAGTACCCTGATCTACCCCGGCCCTGTACTCTCACCGTAACAGCCCTTCAGTGTAGACACACTGCTTAGGTGATATGATCTGTATGTTTGATATAACATAATAATATTCACCTCGACCTCGGTCAGACCCCTTCCTTCTCCAACACGCATTTCGCGAGAAATCAGCCAAATCCTCCTCTAAAAGCCAGTCCAGCTCCACCTAGAAACTGGTAGCACTCGCCCAGACCACCCAAGCAGCCCCAACCCAACTCAGGCCATTCAAATTAAATTGTATGTGTATTCTACAATACTTCAACATGCATGTTTTGGCATCGAAGGGCGGGGAGAAAAGTTGCCTGACACGAAGCTGCCCAAATGCTTCCGAGAAGCTGGTTGTACATGTTGTATGCACTCTGGAAGGTCTGCGCACTCTGCCAGCCATTCTGCGAGAGCACATTGAAGAAATTCTGGTAAGGCTCACTGTGAGCACAGTGGATGAAGGACTCGAAACCTGGCAATGCAAAACAAGCAAGTTTCCTTGACTGGCTGCCAGCTTTCACTGGGGCCTGAAAGGCAAATAAAATTAGTCTAGGGCTTGCCTGGATAAGGTTAACAGCACATTTGCATAAATTCTCGGAAGAGTCCCAAATTTTGCGACGAACATTGGCGGATTTATGCACTCAACTATACTTGCCCCAGCCGTCAGGATCGGCCCCGGCCTCCATCCCAGCCTCCACCCTTTGCAGGCCCAGCCGCGATGGCCGAGATGGCAAGGGGCACGGACACTGCATGCTTCATCAATGCTTGTCAGAAATTGGCTCTTGCATTCTCTTGCAAGTTTACGTGAGCTCGACTTGGCTGACGGAACATTTCTCACCAGGTCTCTCTCGCTCTCTCGCGTCTGGTACAAGAACGCCAGTGGCTTCCAAGTCCGAATTGATGGGGATCGTTGCTCGCTCACGTGAAATCTGCGTGCAGTATCTATGGCTCTTGAACGCGAAGGCGCTGGAATGGGCATCAGTTGTTCGGCCTTCTGCTACAGTTGCAGTCACCTTCCAAATTCTAAACTTTCTAAACCCTTGAACGAATTGGCCCAGGTTTTCTGCCGCAGCATTCTTGGTTCTCAAATGCTTGACAGTGTGAGGCAAACGCGCTCGCATTCTCAGCTTTGCTCGTTTTCGCTATTCATCCATCGTAGCTCCATTGGCTGGCGACTCAGCGGCTGAGTCAGCCACGCCGGATGCATCGGGAAATAGCTGATCTAAATCGTGCAAATATCTGGGTAGCACAAGACCTCGGGGCTCATCGTCCTCCCAATCCTCCTTGCCAACCTCATGGATGCAGCTTCTCAATGCAATGCTTCACGTGCTGCTTGGTCGTTTTTCACACAAACAGGTACGCTGCCACTTGAATCGTGTGCCTGTCAGCTAGCGCTTCTGATCTTTGCGGAATGATATGCGCATTCGCGAAAGCGTTGAACATATTGGACGAACCTCAAATTGGCCGAGGTGCTAAGCCTTGCTTGGGCAAACCGTCGGGGCTGAAGCCCTGACTCCGCCAGAAGTTCTCCACGCATTTTGCGTGCGCACCTGAGAGGCCCTGAATTTGATAGGCACAGAATTCATCCTAAGCCCAAAAACAGTCTAAAGGCCCTATACCTTGGGCTATGACAGAATCCCGCCCAATCATTCATATTCATGCTTGGTCGCGCTCGCACTTCCTTCATGGCAATGGCGTGCGCATCCTGCCAAGCAGCCGCCGGCGTAGAGCACCACGACCATTTCGTCGCCCTGGACATAAATCTCGAACGAGCGGCATCTCAATGGATCAAACATGTTCACGCTTGTCAACTGCAGCAATGTCAGACGACGTCTGAACTATGCTGCTACTTGCAACGGACCAGCAAACATTGTGAGTCCCTGATCTTGTGGAACACTTGAGGAGTCCCTCACATAATAATCTACCATGGACTACAAAACCTATGAACGACCATGCTGAGTGAGAGTTGACGATTGAAAGGTAGATCGACCTTGTTCAAGTGTCATTGCCTCGTGCAAGGACTCACTGCTATGTTTCAACATGCTTCACTTTGACATCATAGCGCCTTGTTGGCAGAAAGCACAGAGTCTGCCATGGACAGGACTGCGGCCAAATCAACCAGGCGCAGCTGGAAGCTGTCAATGATGATTTTGGCAAGGACCTAGCGCATACAAACACATGCTCTATTCCAACCCAAACATGCAAGGCCTTTGACTCAGAAGACCTGTCCCATCTAATGTTCGAGCTCAGAGCCCCGCGCGTTGTCTCCGGCTACTAGGGCCAGACCTGACAAATGACTTCACTCTACTTCTTCTCTTGGCTTGACTGTTTAGGCAAGATGCAGGGGATCAAAGCTTGCCAACTCTTCGAACGCATCAGGAAGGCTCGGAATTCGGATGTCAGCCAGGTCGTAGCGCTTAGACTTGTTTTTGGCGCTCCTGCTACACATTTGAGCTTGCATCACGTGAGCACATACACAAATGGCTCACACAATCTCCGAATGATCATTGCATTCCAGTCCAACTGAAGCGAAGCAAGCTCCAGCTGCGTTCACACGTGCTGGTCTGTTAGTCTGTTGCAATGAATGCTACTTGACGCACAAGCTCCTCACTTTTGCCAAGGTCCGAAGCTCCTTCGGATCTGTCCTGTCGACGTGCTGGCAAGCGTTCTCCCGAAAGGCATCAACAAAGTGCTGCTTTGCAAGGCTCAAAAGCGGCAGCTCAGCTGTCAGTGCAAGGCGTTGCCCTGCTTCAACACATATACTATGCCTACGACCTTGGGCAATAGTGTCAAAGCTTGATCTTGTGCGTTTTGTTCCAGGCAGCGCCAAAAGACGGCGTTGCATCAGAATGGGTCCTGTCAATGTCGGCATAGACCTGCACAGGTCTGCATGGAACACGCATTGCTCCTTCCGTCTGCTTTGCGACTTGTTGTCAATCTGTGTGAGACAAAATGCGTTGCCTCTCGGTGGCATTCACGAAGCCAGGCCACGAAGTAGTCCCCATCTGCATCTGCTGCCTGAACATGTCTTGCAGGCGAAGGCTACAATCACTGTTTTATTGCAAGTGGCCGGCAGGCAACAGTTGTTGCCACTTGCACCAACACAAGCGCTTTCCAAGCCGCCTTCGGATCTGACAAAAGGTGATCCACAGACTGGAAGTACCAATCCTCCCGCGCTCAATGTGCACAGGAATGGGATTCAGAACCAGCTTTTATGTGGACTTATCAGGACACACAACCGAAGAAACTGCTTCTCCGCAAGTCCACAGAAGCTGTTTCTCCCATGAAGACATAGAGTGCGCCAATCACAATTTGCACTGCTTGCTCCAACCCGTGACATTGCAAAACACGTACGTCAACTGCAAATGTGGCATGCCTCCAGGTCAACCACAACTATGAAGAACAATCTTGCTGCAAGGAAAATCGGAAGAAGTTGCAAACCCGTCCAAGTCCCACAGAGTGGCCATGACCGGGCTGACACGGGCGCCGTCGGCTCCTCTGCAGCAGCCACCAGGTCCGGCGCGCTTGCACGAACCTTGTCCGCGAGGCTGGAGATCCAAGTCCTAGCAAATCTGAGCCGCAAAAGGGCTAGGCAGCATGCAAATGCAATCGGACCTTCAATTTGCCAGTCTAGTCCTATAGCCTTTGGATCTTTTAAGCTGTCTAGTCCTGGAACGCGCTGAGAACCTCCCCATTGCTGTTAGCTATTCTTGGCAGTTTGACATTCCAAAACACATACAGTATTGCAATGTCCACGGTAAATGATGGCAAACGTTGTAATGCAATGACGTTGTTCTTGTACAGCTGAAAGGCACCCCAGTCAGAGCTTGTTTTCTCTGCTGAAACATGCCATGGTCACGGTGCAGGGTGGTCCTTGGCGGATTCGACCCTCTTGCCTTCAAGTATTGTGATACCGGAGCAGCGCGTACCGGTACCTTGCGCACGCACGATGCAAACGCGCACACGCTGAGCTTGTCGCACCACGCCATTGTCTGAAGGACGCCGCCACAGCTTGCCATCGGCCTAGCGGTTCTGCAGAGTGCCTCAAAAGTGCAAAGTTTGCCGCCTCACGGTAGGCCAAGGATCGCAAATAGGCCATGGACACGCACTCGCCTCAATTGCAACATCATCTTGGCAAATTGCCGAAACACCATCAGTTGCCAAGGAGCTGTCCATTCGCAGCTTGCCGATGGCCTCTGGGACCTCAACGTAGCATGTCTCACATGAGCAACCCATTGCATGTCAAATCTCAGTGCTGCAATAACTCTGGGCTAACTTCTTAACCCAGAGTTTTTACACCACCGATTGGAGCGCAACCAATACGAAACAAAACATCTTTCGAGCGATTGGCTTGGACACAAATCCCTACTTATTCCCCCGCACGAAGCTGGGCAAAGGTTTGATTGGCGATAAAGAAATCGCAAAGGCTCATTTCTAGGCCGCCGGGCCGTGCCGAAAACCAGTGAGTTGAAGAAGCTTTTCAAGGCACTGGGGCGTGCTCCGGGTCCTGGCCACATCAGAGTGGCTGATGATGGCGGCTCTCTTGGTCGATTGTCCAGCTCCCATTGAAGAGTTTGTGAAGTCCAAGCAAGGACAAGGCTCAAGTGCTGCATGAGGTGGAGAGTCTGTGCCAGTTTCTTGCGTCTCCCTGTGTCCCATACTGGGAGATCCGTGGCCTGCGTCAGGCACCACGCAACCCAGCAGGAAGGGAACGTAGTCAGCCTGGCATGGCTGCAAGCGCAACCACATCCCAGAATACGTATGTTTCCCCACAAAATGCTTGGAATGAGTGGGCAAACTTCTTTTTTTTGTGCGTCGGTTAAACGTACATACAAGTATATGCTCAGCCCTGCCTACACATTGGATTTTGAGATCTTCCAGTGACGACCTCTCCTTTCTCATCCACTTGTTTGCTTGGTCAGTGCTGCCTTGTCATCATTTCCAGCCTGCACATCTTAGCGCAATTGCTCAGAAAAGGATAAACACACTTGGCGAGCAATCGAAACGCACCTGCCTGCCTGAAACCTGCCTGCTTCAGCACTTTTTAGTGTACGTTTTTTTTCAAGGCAGGAATGGGAAGCAAGCGCATCTGTAGGTAACATTGACAAATCCTGGTGGAGGACAATTCTTGACACGCTTTGACACGCTGCGGCTTGGCAGACTTGTCTTATTTGGGGGGGTCCCTATACTGCATCGTTTTAGTTGCGCAGGTGCTCAGCTCAGAAAGCTCCACAGGAGTCCACAGTGCACTTTGAGCGCATCTCTTATGCATTTTGCAAAAGCTTGATGTCACAACTAGCGCCTGCTGTCAACAATACAACATTTCGGCCATGCACCCTCAACCTGCTCGGCACCTTCACGTGAGGCGAGTAGTACAAAAGTTCTGCTGCAGCTCCGAAGAAGGCCTTGACCGCAAGGCAAAGCAGGCATGCATCGCAGAGCTGCAAAATGCTTTGTGCGGCCTCCCAGGAAGGCACGGGAGGTGGCCGCTCAGATCTGGCCTCACAGGACCGAGGCGGAATGTGAATGAGATTGAAAGTCGGAGCAACTGCATGGCAGTTGCACAACTTTGAGCCTTGCGAGATGTTGCCAATGACGGAGCTTGTTCCTTCAGCCGCTCATGATTCTAAAGGTCAGCACATGCCACGACTATGGAATTGCAGTCATTGGGACACTTTGCACTGGATTGGTGATTCAGTAGCCGCTGAGCCCTGCAGATACCCACAAGCCCCACACAACAATTTTGACTCTACCCTGCATGGCATGCCATTGAAGCATCCTGCGCATTCAGCTTCTCCAGCATCAAATGCTCAGGATCCGGTTGACAGGACTGGGACAGCATTGCCTGCCACGCGCCCACAAAAATCACGGTGACTTCTGCTTTCGACTAACCAAGAGTCGTGCCTGAAAGGCATTGCGCGAGTCTGCATGGTCGTCATCCCCTTGGCTGCTTTGGCTGTTTGCAAAGCTGACGACTCCTCGAAAGCAGTGCCTCCATATCCCCAGGCATCCATTCAAAGTAGCCATTTATAGTTGCACGTGCTGTCTCTTGTAGGTGACTCATGTTAAATCTACAAGGTGCCCAAGCTCCTGTGGACAAATGGCTTGGGCTGCACATATTTTAAAGAGATGCAAGCGAAAGACACTATCAAAATTGGAAAACACATTGCCGACGGGATCAATCTAAGCTGAAGCTCCAAGGTCTCGCGGATCAATGTGGCGCAAAGCACCAGGCGGCAAAGCCGCCAGCAGTCGCCGCCGAAGAAAGTCCAAATAGGTGCCTGCAGGAATCGCGTCAATAGCCTGGTCCCCAAGTCAGGCAAACTGAAGAACTGAAACACTTGACACACTTTGCAGTCTTGAAATCACGGCAAGCAAACAGTTTGCGTCATTGAAATCGAGGATTTCCGGTCGCCGCTGTTGCAAGGGTGAGTAGGAGGGGAACTCAAATATTAACAACCAACGAGGAAGTTCCGATCGTCAATCAAATCAGGGTGCTCAAATCTCCCGAGCCCGGGCAACAAAACACGCCACGTAGATGGAAGCTAGGTCTCTCAAAATATTCAACAGGCGCCTGTCCCATCATCAGGGTCTCGTTCATCCTGCACAGTCCACATCACTTCAGCGACAATCTTCGAGCCTTTGCAAAGCTCTGTGTGTGGTCAATTGCCACCTCCTTCTGCAAGGAAATCATTTCAGCTTTCAGCTATTCCTGTCCTTTGTTTGCTGCATATCAAACGGGCCAGCCGCCTGTCCTCCGAGTCACCGTCAGAGTCCAGCTCCAGTCTTTGCAAACATTCGTGCGGCAGCGCCATATCCAGAGCAGGCTCCTAGTACGATGACTGCAGTGACACAGGCACTTTAAGCGCAAACTCACAGTGGGAGCGAAAAACTGCCAAACGCTCTCTTGCTCAAACCTTTTGACCTCGAACCCCTTTCAGGGCCACTCAATGCAGCCCACTCGTGGCTCTGCACTGGGAGTGATCTACATATGCTCGTCATCCCCTTCTCCGACGCACTGGGAACCTGCAGCATCACTTGGACGGCCAGCCACGTGCCCAATTTTGCATTGTCAATGGCATGACCATCGCGCCTACCCAAAAACCAACGGTGCTACGGCCCTTTGTCTGTCAATGCAGAAACATCCGGCCGCCACCAGCCCAGCCTCCAAGCCTGCCGCCATTGCCTGACACGTGCTACCCCTCCGCCAGGCTCGGACGCTGGTAACTGCAGGGAATGCCACTCCCGCGACCGCAATGGTCATGGGGACGTATTTGCCCATATCCCACCACTCCAGGCCGATTTGTAGCAGCTTGAAGCTGGCGCTGCTGGCTGCGCTCAGAATCGACACCTTAGCAACCTCCAAAGCGCACTCTTTTCTGCCCTTCTTGCCTTGCCAGAAACTTCTGCTGCTGTAGAGTGCCGTCAGAATGCCGCCAACAACACAGCCAAGTGTTGCAGCTTTCGCAAGCTCTTTGAGCAAGCTGTTCTTGATGTCAAACCTAAGAAGCTGCCCTTGTGTTGTTGTGATCTCATCCAGGCGCTCCTTTGTCAACGGGTCGCTCTTCACCCCCTTGTACTGCATACAATCTGCCACTCCATTGCCTTTATGATCCGCAGGGCCAATCTTTTGCATGTCATCGTACTTGGACTGATTCAGAGCCCGTTGTGTTTTCTCAGCACTTTGGTAGCGTTTGAATTGAGCCTTTGCAACTCTTTCCTTTTGAACATCAGTAATGTATGCATCAGCCAGCGCGCGGTGCGGTGCAAGCTCAGCTCGGTAAGGCATGCCTTTGGCAATTGCATTTTTGTTGAAGGACTCCACGTGCCAAACTTCCTGCACGAATCCTGCCCTCTTTGGCACGTCCACATTTGCCCACTGACGAACTTTAGCACAAATGGCCGGATCCCCAACTGCTTCGGCATACTTGTTTGCTGCGCACTGCCAAGGCAGCTGGACATACTGCTGGTCAATGGCACTGGGCAAAATGGCTTGCAACGCTGGGCGGAAAAGCCGGTTCTGGCTACGCGTGTATCCACCCTGTTTGCAGCACTTCTCGGAATCCATACGCGCTGCGTCTACTGATCGTTGTACCTCAGACCTGTGCTTCCTTTGATTGCATCAGCAGCACCTTTGAACACAAGGAGCCTCATGAGACCTCTGTTTTGCGAGGTAAGCTTCTGCTCATGTTCTGCTGCAGGAAATCTCAAGAGATTGATGCGAAACTCGTCTGTCACCTCAAATGCTCTGTCTCTTTGTTGGCTGGGCCCAAATGCCATCGTTCAATTTGTGCAAACGATGCCGAACAAAATGTGACAGGTGTCCATTTGTGCACCCCAATTTGAACCTTGAAGGTAGCAATACTTACAGTGTTCAACCCCTGAACTAACATGGATTTCGCACCTGTCTCCAGATCAGCCCACCATACTGTTAGCATCTCATAGCCAACCCCATCAATCAGGAGTCATAAGTTCAAAAACCAAGGGAAAGCTTGTGACGGCTCTGCGTCTGTCCTCATGCAATTCCACCTCGCCGGCTGGCACGTGCGCCTCTATGACCACCTCCAGCCGTCTGCCTTCAGGGGTGGCGCTCCACACATTTGCACTGTGAAAGCAAACCAATCATCATCGTAGTATCGCTAGTGACAAAACATCCACACAACTGAGTCTCACCAACAGTCAAACAGCGCTGCTTGCTACACACAAGGCAGTGTCTGATTGTCGGCTTCTAGCACAATTTGGTTCCAGAGAAGCGACCGAATCTGTTCCTGCGCCTGGCTTTGTAGAGCTGGCATGTCTAAGGAGCCAGTCATCGAACATCTCGATGTTTTCGGCAAGCCTCGCTTCTTTGCGTTTTGCGATAAGCGCATCCTCAGCGCGGCATTGGCTTTTCGGCTTGTCATGAATTGCCACGGCGCCTTCTCGACTGGCCAGCTTGGAGCGACATTTGCAATGATGGGGCCTCTTCTTTCCTATTCCCAGCCCTGCGCACTAGTTGCCAGGTAAGTTTGATGGATCCAAGAGTCATACTCTTCAGCTGGTACTTCCTCCCCCTTTAGCCGGCGCTTGTTGAAGTCGTGAGCCTGCGACATGTGCAATGATGGCATCAGCGAATCCGCTCCATTGTTACTGTACTGTATGTCGAGTTGACAAATCGCTGAAGCAGGGGTAGGGCACCCCAAAGAATCAGGCCCGAACAAGTCGACTTGGCAACTGGCACAATGAAATGAACACTCAAGACTCCTGCTATGGACTCAACTCAGATTCCAGAATGCGCACGATTCGGGATGCAGTCGGCCTCCTTGTCCAGGTCGCACCACTCAAAGAATTGAAGCATTGACTGCGACATTGACACCTTGGCTGTTTTTCAATCTCCGCACTCACATTCAAAGTTCTTTTCTGGCCAGCAAGTTTCCAATCCTGTCCGGGGGGCTCCGACTGGCAATTTGGGGCTCGGCGAAAGGCGCGGACTGCGCTGCGGCCTGACGATTGGGGCCAGTTGCAAAGCTGCAAACTGGCAACCTGCCATCACCTCCTTCAAACGGGGCAACCCGACTGTGTACACACACTCTGAAATGCTGGGTCGTTCTTGCTTCTTGCATTCTTCGAATGGGAATAATCAAATCTCACACACACACAAGCTGCCTTTCTCATGACCCACAAACCTGGCCTCAGGTGTGGGCTGTGCCGATGCCAAGGCTTGCTGGGCCTGTATACCCGTGCAGTGCCCTTGGCGCCAGGCCGATCTCCAGCCTCACATCGGGCCGACTCAAGAGGAATGCAACGAACGCAACCGTCTCGCCTGATAGACCAACTTCGCACCAATCAAATCATCCTCATCGCTGTCCTGCCGATAAAGCCATGCTTGCACCATGTTCGAACGCACGGTGCACTTGAACTGCTGGACTTCAGTTTGCTGAGATCTACTGGCAGGCAAGCATCAAACACTTTCAACATTATGGTGTCAATATGTGGGATCCTAGCACATCACGGCGGGTTTGCAGAAGGTAGTTCATGGTAGTTCGGTGACTGAGTGATATGTCTCATCCTGTCAACTGGTTGCTGCTTCCGCGCACCTGCCTGGTCAGCTTGGCGACATCTGCGTTGAATCAGTCTCTATGCTCTGGACACTGGACACGGTATGAAACCCACTTCTCCTGATCACGAGCTCGCTACTTGCCATCTCAGGATTAAGACGGTGTTCAAAGATCCGGAATTCCAAGTGTCCACCACAATATTATTTCTTGTCATTGTCTGCCAGTTTGCTGATGCTCGCCCACAAAAGTGTTGCTGTTCAATTGTTCATTCCATCCATGTCAACCCGCAGCTTCCGTTCTCTCCCCACGCCCCTCCTCTGCATCGTCCACCACCTCCGCCGCCCAGGCCTGAGCGCCCTTGAGAGTGGCACAGTCCTTTGTGCCCAGCTGCGGGCCAAGCTCCCCCAGCTCCTCTAAGACGTACCAGCCCTGACATCAAACAGAAGACTGGGGCGCTTTCCAAAGCTGGAAAGTATCAGAGGGAGCTTCCTGTGAATGTCAAGCACAGGAAGGACGACCTGCATGCCGAACTTTGACACAGTCATGTCAAGTCGCCAGGTTTTCCATTTCAATGATTCCCCATCTCCAGGCAAAATCGCGCGGGCAGGCGGGCAAACCAGGGGGCAATGGCAGGCGTAAGAAGCGCAATGTATGGAATCGTTGTTGCTGATGTTTTTTGAGCTGGAAATGGGGATGACGCGTTTGTTTGATTGCTGGGGCACAAGCTGAAGCACCTCATGCAATGTGCCCTGACGTATGAATGCCAAACATGCAAATGGCCATGTTTAGCATAATATCTTTCGGCCGGTACTTTGAAGCAAACAACACACTTCTCAGTTGCCAACCCTATGCTAGCTTTGCCTGGACAAAATCGCAACACAATCAATGCAGCACAAACGTCAAGCACTCGCATATGTCATCCATAAGACAGGTCAACTTGTAGGAACAATCTTGGAGAGTCGGTGAATTCCTCCCTCCAGTCTCATGATAATTTATTGAGTGTGTCCAACGTCATACCCTTACACGCATTGCTTAGGATTTAGGGTAGGGACATTCGTAGCGAGTCGAGGAGCCACACCATGCAAAACAACAACATGCCTCAAACAAAAAAATAAAGGCTTTGTGTGATACAGCTGGCCTTTTGCCTTGGTTTGCAACCTGAAACAATGCCACACACGCAACATGATGGTTGACACAAGTCAGCACATCACGCAAAAATACACCAAGACTCCTCCCGCCGTGCCTTCTCGGGCTCGATGATGCATTTCTTCCTTGTCAGGTCAAGTGCATCTTCGTGTGCCTGGCCAAATGCCAAGGACCTCCATCATTAGACACGCAGCGCTCTTCAAGGAAGAGCGAGCGTGTGAGGGACTGCCGAAACCCCTTGCTTGGCCTCAGTAGAGATCTTGAGGGTATCGGTTTTGGGGGGGGCCCTATCGTTCCACAGTGTTTCATTCAACGCACCCACAACACTTTCGCAACATTTCAGTACCAGGTAGTACGCGAAGTACACTTCCGCAGCTCCAGCTCGAAAATCGCAACTTTGCGTAACAAGTCTAGTGCGCGAACTACACTTCCGCAGCTCCGGCTTGAAAAGCGCAACTTTGTAGTACAAGCCTAGCACGCGAAGTACAGCTCCAGCTCGAACATCGCGTACAAGTCTAGGTACGCGAAGTACACTTCCGCAGCTCCAGCTCCAAATCGCATCTTTGCAGTACAAGTCTAGTGCGCGAAGTACACTTCCGCAGCTCCGGCTCGAAAATCGCAACTTTGTAGTACAGTCTAGCACGCGAAGTACACTTGCGCAGCTCCAGCTCCAAAACTGCAACTTTGTAGTACAAGTCTAGTATGCGAAGTACACTTCCGCAGCCCCAGCTCGAAAATCGCAACTTTGTCGTACAAGTCTAGTACGCGAAGTACACTTCCACAGCTCCAGCTCAAAGATCGCAACTTGAGGGTTATCGGTTTTGGGGGGGTCCTTATCCTTCTACAGGGTTTTGTGCAGTTCGGACATGCAATTCAACCCCTCTTGATAAATTGGTTTTCATAGGTTTTGGCCGTGGCTCATGCCCTTTCCTTCGTCTTTCTTTTGTACGGGTCAGGTAGGTTTGGCAATCCCAAAGCCTGGCCTCTCCGCAAAGGATCAGGGCCACAGAGCGGCCAAGCAGCTGACCCCGGAGCGTGCGGATCCACTCGGGGCCGCAAACGCGGCGGTAGGCCTGCAGGGCCACGGACAGGGGGCCGTCAACATGGGTGTTTACAAAGCTTTGTATTTCTCGTTGGTTTCCCTTCAAATACCAAAGGGGGGAGGTCGTTATTTTGAGACACCACCAAATCATACACCTTTTCGATGGAATTGGCTTTGATATTGTGCGTTCTCATCATTTTCTTTGGGGCCACACCGACTAGCTTGGTGGCTCGCAAAGCGCAACGCTCAAGTATGATGGTTCCAACTGCAAGACTTGCAGCTTGCCTGGCTCTGTGCGTGCTGCAGGCTCTGCGAGAAGCTGCGTAGCCGCTGCAATCCCCGGGGCCTGGCCAGGCCACCCTACAAGACGATCGTTCCCGTCCGGAAATAAGTTAGGTAGGCTTGCCTATACTTCCCGTTGCAGCTTCTTCCCTGCCATTGTGGCGGAAACAATCTTGCCTGGATGGACCTGGGCTGCCTCGTCTTGCTGTCAGTTGCAGCGCATGGAACATCTATGCCTACACTTGCACATTCTTGCACGCCCTCTGCTTCTTGCTCTTTCGCATGCATTCTGGTGCTGGTCGACAGGAATGGGCGGATGGGCCAGAGCTTACGTGATCTTCTCCCCGACCCTTATCATCTCGCTAACAGCTCCTGATACCTTCCCTTACCTCTGTGTTGAGCCGTGCTGTGTTGAGCTGAGGTCCATCGGCAGCAAAGCGCCTCTTGCGCCCGCTGGCTGGGCCATTCCACTGCCGCTTGCGCTCATCCATCATTCGGAGTTTGCCTACATTGGGAGTAATTACGCTCCGGCAAGAAAATGCATAGCGATTGAAAGACTCTCACATCGATTGTGCTATATGCAAATAAATATGTATATCATAATGTATATTTGGAGAAAGTGAGCTACAACGATGCATTGGATGAATCATGTCCGTTGTGAAGGGATTCGCTGATTTAGCATTCAGCTACCTTTGAGACTCTAATTAGCTTCGAGGATCGGGCAGATGGTGCACCAGTCAGCGCGCTCCTCAAACCTTTCAAAGGCCCAAAGGCTTCGAGAGGCCTCAGGCTGTCCAAATGACAGCACTTCATTTAGGTCTTGAACGCGAGTTCCTAATTGCAGATTCATCAATACTTGACCCTTCCTATGGCAAGTTTCTTGGCTTCAAGACAAGGGCGAGCAAAGCTGGAGGCTTTTTTGCTTTGCACGAGACAGATGTCGCGCATTGGTCATCCCGAAACAACCCCGAAACAACATGTGCAGGGGCGCAGAAATTCGCACACCCAAATTTCCTCCCATATTGAATTATAGATCAGTATCTGTTGAAACTGTCACATAGAGGCCGGCGGTTGCCTTTGTTTCTGCGCATCTGAACATGCCCGGACCGAAGCCAGGTCATTTGCTGAGCCTGGGCAGGGCAAGCTGTGGGCGAATGGACCCTCAGGCCATCAGGCTCTGGCGCCCATCCTTTGGGGAGCCAAGTCAAAGCTATGCCTCAAGTAGAGAGCACCTTGGCTTCAATACAGCGTGAAATGGCCATCAGCCCATCAGTTATCGCAGCTGTGCTCATCCAGTCTTGCTACGATACCGCCCAAGCTCAAGTCCTGCATCTTTCAATGAGCTTTTTGCATTGAAAGCTTCATGAGCCCAGCTCTCCGCTCAGGCTTTGGTGCTGAGATCCCGGCTCCACCCTCCGTCTCCTGCAGACATGCGAAGGCAGCTGGTCCCATACAAACGAACCTTTCGGAGACGGCTGCCGCCTATTTTGGACTCCCTCCAAAGATGGCACAAAAGGAACCAGTCCTTTTTTTGACATGCTGCTGACACACTCACAAGCAAGCAAGACACACTCACAACGAAGCGGATGGCTCCACAGTCCAAAACTCTCGCTCCTGCCCCCAGGGCTGCTTGGGCAATCGAGGCCTGGGAAAGACAGAAGTTGCAGCCCGCATGCCAAGCCCCAAGCAAATATTGGAAAGAAATCGGATAATGGCAACAACACGTGACTGACAAACTGAGGCGCGCACGTGTCGCCAAGAGCATTGATGGGATTTTGCGTGTAAAACTCGTGCAAGGCCTGTGGGTCCTGGAGGGGAGCTTTGCCTCAGCGGAGTGTTTCTCACATGCCTCACTTGCCTTGCAACAATGCCTTTGCTTCTCAAGAGAAGAGAAGGCAAAGAACTGATCTCATCAAGGGAACTGAAGCATTCAACATGTCGACTGGATGCCTCCTTTCGCTGTAGGCTAGGGACGACAACCGTTCCAGCATGGGTGAAAGGGAAAACCAACAAACAACTTTCTCTTGCAAGCTCTCTGTCTGCTTTGCTCCTGTCCCAAGTCGCGTTCTTAACCTAAGCCTCTGGCTGATGGATTCAGGCAGGCCCTTCATGCTCAACCTGAAGGAGCCCTGCCGCAAACTCCGCCAGCTCGCGTTGACACCCAATTGCTTGGCTGCCCGGTGTGTCTCATTGAATCGAAGGCCCCTTCAATGATCTTCAACAACGAATCTTTTCTGTTCGATCCCTGAGTGATTCAGAGATACATTGAGAGTCTTCAGTGCTTCTGAACTTCTGACGCATCAATGCTCACTGCAATTGCAGTCTTGAGCTGTCCTCCGGGTCTGGCGGCGGGCCTTCCTGCCACACAAGCGGATGCTTTGTCAAGGTGTCCGAGCCCTGCCTCGTTGGGCAGCTCGCTGGGCCTCACTCGGAGCCACTTAGAGACTTGTGCAAAACCACGCTGTTGCTCTGGAACCGCAAGGCCCAAAGCGACCTAATCCGCTCACTTTTCAGCCCCATAATAGTTGGTGGCTGACCCAAGCCCACGCTGGGGTTGACATGTTCTGACAACCAAACTACGCGATCTGTATTTGCACCACATCCAGAGCTTTTCGCGTCGCAATCCCTCCCCAACTCCAGCCCAGGTCACGGCGCAATGCTCGGACCGCGACGATTCAGGGCTCTGCTCCCCCGTCTTCCGGAGGCGCAGCTGCTCCTCCACCGCGGCCTCCCGCTCCTGCGATCCAAGCTGGTCGGGCAGTGAGGAAGTCTTTGGTTCTGTGGCTGACAACACGGGTGGGCTGGGGACTTCGGTAGGTGGCTTGGTCAGAAGTCCAGCAAACATGGTGTGTATTCCTTGGATTGGAATACGTGAATCAAAAAACAGGCGCGGTCTTCGAGAAATGAGATCTGCCACACAGCCACACCCACACACACACACACATTCGCTCAAATATCGCCCCCTGGATGCACCAATGACAGTGGCCGAGCAATTCAGCAACCATCCTCCTTGCTGATTGGCTGCAAAATGTCAACGAACCCAACCTCGCGTCAAAGTTGTCAATTGGCAGGCAAAGCAGTAAACACATCCATCACAAGCTGCACCAAACACGCATGCAACTCACATGAACTGGCTATTTGTTTCTTCAATGGGTGCATCGACGAGGACTGATCTGCAAGCAACGCACGCCTTCATGGGCAGGAAGACTTTGTCGTTGATGCGCAGCCATTCCCCATCCTCTTCTACAATGCCCTCGACCTTGGTATCCGGCAGCACTTGATGCGATGCTCTGCGCCCTGCAAAAGGATGCACTGTATGATGTCCAAGGGTTCTGCTGTTTGGCCCTGCTTCGCGTATCTCTTGTATCTGCAGGGATCGACTCTCAGCAGCTTGGTGGCTCAGCGACGCTTCAAACACTTTGTGAGTCTGTGAGCTTGAAACTTGTGCGGGCCTGTCTTCCAATTTCCGTGACCTTGTCAGCGCGCCAAATGTCCAAGTCATGCTGCAAACTCTACAAGGTGCATGTTAAGCTCCGGGCTTCCGGTACTGCACCCCGGGATACGGGGAGGGAACCTCCGGCGCGCCACATGCTGAAATCACTGCTGAAAATTGGGTGCTCGAGGAAGATTTGCACAGCATGCTCTGCCTGGATTCGGAAATACTGCACACCCAGGACAGCTTTTGCAGAGTCCTGGCAAGAAGGTCGTGTCGCTGTTTCACAAATGCCGGAGATAGTGTTGCTGACTCATTGCTCAAACTCTCTCGTATCTTTGCCAAGTGGCTCGCATAAGATTATGATCATAGCAATCACTTGCATGTCGCTTTAAGGCCGAGTCCCTCGTGCGCAGCGTGCCAAGAACCTGCCGCATAGCTGGCAAACGTGCAGTCTATTGCTCCTGTCAGGCCTCTTCTTCTATGTAAGACCACACCGACTCCTCCTGAAAGAACCTGACCAGGCGCGCATACAATATTATGAAGAGGAACTTCCATGTCATCCGGTCGTACTTCAAAGCCGCAGCCTCTGTGTTCCAAAAGGCCCATGGAACTTGCCACTTGATCCAATGCTGCAAGATGCTGCAAGGCAAGCGCCTGTCCAGCCGCTCTTCGACCTGTCGATCCATCTCGGGCCTTGGGAGCAAACTTTGCTCAAACAGGTAGGTGTTGACCCTCCCACAGCTTCTGACAAGACCAACGGGAAAAAACATAAAACAGCAATGCACCAACCTGAACCACTAAGTGAGTCTATAGTCTAGAAATGCTATTCCTAGGCACCATGCTCACATATTCAATACTGGTAGCAGGGATGCGCAACATGGAACTGACACCTGTCATGAACGTCAAGGCCTAGTCCCACTATGCATCAACCGCACCTCCGCAACTGTTTTCATAGAATTGCCCTCCTGCAAAATTTCTGCAACTTTCCCGAAACAAAGCTGAAAAGACTGATTAAGTAAATCGTGTTTGCTCTCCTCCGTGGACCCGGGCAGCTCTTCCGGCCTGGGCAGCTGTTCCGCCTGCCGGGTGGCATAAGATTTGCTGGAAGATCCTACACCCAAATACTCGCAGGAAGCCCAACAAACGCAGCGGAATCCCGCTTCAGCATTGCAAGGATCTACTCATTGAGTCTGAGTTGCTTGACTCATACTGGCGGAGCAAATGCACAACGGAGCAGTGCCTCTATAACAAAGGCGCACGCAACTGAGCTACAGCCGATGACAAGGGCCGAAGCATGTTAGTGTCTCCAAGAAAGCTCAAGGCGTTGCTTTTCTTTTTGCATACGCGGCTTGGTTGCAGTGTCACTGGTAAATGGAACTAAATGGTGGCAGCAAACACAAACTCATCCTGACTCCAAGACAACGCTAAAATGTCATCCACTAAATGTAAGGTCAAATTTCCAGAGGCATGGATGCCATTGTACCAGCATTAGAAGCTTGTCAAGCTTCCCTTGAGAAGGTCTTGCGCGCACGCCTTCACCGAGAGGGAAGCTGCCTGAGGCTGGCTCGCGGCTGGCTGGGAACCTGCCAAATAACCGTCTCAAGCATAGTGCACCATGAAACTCACATGTCTGGGTGAACTTTAATACTTCACCAGCCTGAATAAGGTGGTTGGGGGGCTATTCCAGACATAAACCAGCATTTGGGGTGAGGTCGTGTGAGGTCATTGTAATTCACCCAAACATGTAACTTCAGCAGGGACAGCATCTCGCGGCACAAAGCTTCTCTGGCGCAACTTTTCCAAAGCATAACATGCCCTGGTCTTTAAGCTGGAGCTTGTGGCAAACTGTTGCTGCTCAAGCTTGGACGAAAAGCGCGGTATGACGTGCTCGTTAAGCCTCCAAGGCTTGCGCATTCAAATCGCTTGAGCAACAGAAACACCCCCTTGAAGCTGACAAATCTATAAGCCATGTTTGATCAATTGGCTCGTCCAATACTTGCACCAGGATCTCGGTGCAAGGCTGCAAGCGGCGGCTTAACCACACGAGTTTGCTTGCCACGCAATGGTACCAAGTGCATTGTTCGTATGTTCCCTTCAACACATTTGCTTGGTCGGCAATGCTTCCCCGCGCGATGCAATGAAGCTCTGCCCTTGAAGTCCAGCTCATCCATATCTAGCTCACAAACAATTATGTGCGCTCCTCAACCGAGCCGAGCGGCACCTTGTTTGGCAGCCACTCCTTGCAGGGCCCGAGGGAAAAGAACGGACCGGCACCATGCAAAGGTCGGCCGAATTGGTCAATGCGAGCTTAAGGTGTGCTTGTTACAATTCCCGTGTCGCTGTGCAACTGCAACTTCTCCAACAGGAACGTGTTCCAGCATCCAGCAGTAACAGCTGAGCGAGCTTTGACACACCACTAGCCGCATGCAGCAACGTTAGAACTATTTGTACATCTGCGCGAAAAGCACGCTCAGGATGGGCATGAGTTGCAGCCTCCACCTCCAGACAGCGCCCTCAGCAATCAGCATCATGGCAATGCTACAGCATAGACTGCTGAACTTGATTGTACAATGCTGTGCTTGACTGTCCTATGGATCTCCAAGCTTAGCTCGATGATCATACTACCTAATTCGGCAACCAACACCAATGGGTGCACAAAGGCTGCCATACTTTTGTTTGAACTTGCGAATGGTTGGTTTGTCTTGATGTAGCGTCGGCACCCTTTTGACTTCACACAAAAACATACACACATTATAACTTAGGCTATTCGGGTGGGGGAGACACCAGGATTCCCAATGTAACGAAATCATATCCGATTTGATAGCATCTGAGTCGCTGAAGGTCGACCACCGCACCGCCCAGCTGCACTTGCTGAACCTCTGACAAACATACAAGTAGCTTCGACAAAACGAATAAGCAAACACACAAACAAACAAACAAACAAACAAACAAAACAAAACAAACAAACAAACAAACAATGAACCAATGAACCAACCAAACAAACAAACAAACAAATTCGAACGAAATTGAAATGGGACTCTTCAGTGGACAATCATGTTCGAGCACATTCACCATTAAAGTTCATAGCCAACAGCCAAAGCCAGCGTGACCCTTCATCCAATGATGGAAGTAGACCGTGATCTCAGCTTCCACGCTGGTCTAATGAAGCGGAATCACATGTATGGCTGGCTTTCCGAGACATGTGATGCATGCCTTGCCATTGCACGTGGCTGGCATGCAGTCGAGCAGCGCAGCTCCAGTTCGATTGCTCTTGCGAGCAGTCCTTCAGGGCGAGAGAAACAGAGTGAGGAAGGCCGTGGTTGATCTTCCAAACAGTACTTGGATCCACGCAGCGCCGGTCACCTCCCTTGGTCCATCAACACACACACACAGTACGTGCACACGGTTGACCAAACGTTTTCAAAATAATATCACAGCTCTTCGGCACTGCGGAAAGATTCGCACAAGTCTCCTCATTGGGTCATACATGCACACTAACATGCATGCAAATGCAAATATGCTAGCAACGGAAATCTGGCTGACGTGGTCAACAATAGTGGCTATAGTCCGAATGCTTAACACTCCCCAAGCCTTCCACTGCTGCGGCGTCAGCGTGCGCAGCTTTGGGAGGGAGTGGATGGCGCCCGAGGTCAAGCCCTCCTGAAGCGCGGCAACCACGCAACTCTCGCTTTTTTGATTTTGCGATCCATGGCCTGCATTTGTCTTCCCTCTAGAATTCAAGGTCATGTGTTTCGGTTGCAGGCGGTTGCCAGCAGGGCTAGATGCCATCCAAAGGGATCCTCTCACTTTGGCTGGTACAATCTGGTGTACTCTGCATTGATGAAACAATGATTGCTGAGACACCTGCAGCAAACATGTTGTAAGCAGTGTCAGGTAACCTTTGCAGCCTTCCCCTGCTTGGGTACTTCAAGAAAGAGACGTGTAAATGGGGCCGGCGGCTCATTTGGGGAAGTCCCCGCGTGCTGGCAATGAACTGAGAGCCGGACAACACAACTGGATTGCGACTGAACTTGTCCGCGCCTTGAGGGCCAAATGCACAAGTCGTTGCCGGTCGAGTGTGGAGAGAGCTTCAAAGGCGTCTGAAACGATAAGAACCTGGCAAAAATCCGGTAGCAAATCTCACTCCCGCGTATAGCTGCCGAGCTTTGTCAAAAAATGGGCGCGGGAGGAATCAACGCCTGCTTTTGGCAGCTTGCCACCCCGTTCCCTTGCCTTCAGCTCTCTTCCGTCGGGATTCTGCGATCGGCCACTGCCATCGGAGAAGCCAGCCACCGTGTGCCCATCGCTGACATCCTGCATGCAGTGGAGTGGCGGAGACAATGGTAAAACCATTTGCATCTTGTTGTCGATAGGGTAGGTCACTAAAGGACAAGCTTGGAGAACCCTTCCCACGCCTTTGAAACCATGTCCTGAATCACTGATATCGTTTCCATTAGCAAGTGCAGGAGTGCTTTTGTTCAACACCTTTGCTGACTAGTGATGAGTACAGACTGGCTGTCCCAGTACAAATACCCAAACAAACATAGTACGCGTGCACTATGTCGAATATGGTATCTCCTGTCGCAAAGCGTTGCATGTTTTCCAAGTCGCGTCACAATGCCGGGCTGTCACAGGCGCGAGGTTCCAAGCTGACAACGTATTGGCTCAAGCAGCCCTTTCCCGAATTTTGCAGTGCGACCCATGGCCGACTAAGTCATGCGAATACAGCGTCCTCTACTTCCAGGTGCCGAATCTCTGGAACGGCCTTTTGCAGCCTTCGCCGCGCCCATGTTGCCAGGTCACCTCCATTGCGATGCCGATCTCTCCGCAAATACTGAAATCAAGTGTAATTACAAGGTCGTTTGTCCATGTTGTTCGCAGTACTCAAGGCTACAGCAGCAATAATGTATTCCGAGATTCGGCCACCTGGCTCGATCCACAATCGCCTCAGCTGCACTGCCCGTAGAACACAGCTGGCCGTGACTCTATGCTTAAGAATATGTCTTCTGATTTGAGGCCCCAGCAGGTCGTTGGAGGATTGAAGCGCCACCACAGCCAGCCAGGCAACTAGCAAAAAACATCGTCGATGCACTGCTGCCGTCCTTTGCACACGAAGCAAGCAAGCGGTGCATTGCTCCCTCACATGAGTTTTTCGGAACAAACAGGGAGTCTTCTTCTGAAGCCCTTGGTCCGAGGTCCTCCCGTCATTGATTCCTTGGTTGCCCTGGAGATGCCGATTTAGGAATTTAGGAAAGCGACCAAGAGTAGCAAAAGAAGCAATGACAGGTCATCGGATCCTGTTGACCATTGGACACAAACTTCAAATAACCCGCCTGATCCAACCTTGAGCAGCAATGAAAATAGCATGTGTCACACTCATGGACAGGTTGAGCTTGCTTGGCTGGAATCATGTATTAGAATAAGACTCTTCTTGTGCTCTCCCAAAAAGCAGTGCTGTGTCAAGCAAACCACGACATTCAGCTCCTTGAAAGAAGGTCTTGAGACCTCCCTCAGCTCTCCACCCCTGTTTACAAACAATATGGTTGTCCTGCCTTATCAGGGAACACAAGGCTCACAGCCTCCAAGCCGTAAGTGGAACATTGAAATCAGTGTGAATCATGCTCAATGACCTCAATGCCTGACTTCTGTTCAGTGCAATTCGTCTTAGCTAAGAGACTGCCCTGGCCAGCGCATGGATCGCATCGGTTCGAAGCTGATGCACAAAAGCTGTGATGCCAATTAGGGTGCATGGTTTCAGATGATTGTTCAGCGCTGCTCATGTTCTCTGGTTGCGTCTCTTCTAAAAATATGCCTTGGGTTGGGTTGACGTACTGGGCTTCATGCAGCACGCCGCAGCATTCCACATTGAGATTACACACTTTGGTCAGTGAGTCGAGGGCACGCATTGCATCGGGCTTGTGCGACATGCACTTCCCTTTGTGCCTTTCGGTCCAAGCTGCGGTGAGAAGTCTGTTCCACATCCACAGCTGGAAGACGCTTCAAGTTTCCCCACGTTTGTTCTGTGCAAATCCATACGCAAAGTTGCCAAACAATGCTTTCATGTGGCCCTGCGACAGCGCTACACTTGTCACTCCTAACATGGTTCTAGGACACTGGCAGTGGGGATGGGCTGCATAGGATCTGAGACCCGAACGATTGCAGGCACACGGCTGCTGATTGCACTGGCGGCATGAGGCCTGGCCATCAGAACGTTACAATGCTCCCCTGCATCATGTAACACATTCCACGCCTCTGGCACGTGAGGCAGCGGGGTGGGCATCAGCGGCAACGGAGCCTCGCCACCTGCCAAACAGATTGCGAACGGTTTGGGAGGCCTTGAGAGGGTTGCTCAATCACAACCTTCTTCACATGGGCGCAAATTGCAATTTGCATGACCAATCGTCTTGACTGTTGTTTCGGCTCATCTTGTTCGACGTACGTGCTTCAAGAGATGAGAATGGTACAAAACTAGCCTGGCGGCGAAGGCGATGGTGACATTTCCGCGGCCGAGGTGGACGGAGGCGGAGTCTGCAGCGTGCCCGGACAGTAGAGACCAAAGGCAGCACATATGCTTGAGAAAATCAACAATCGCCAACATCACTTCTTTTTTTTGCAAGGAACATGCATCGTGCTCGTGATACAGCAAGGCCGTAGATTTCTCTGTTATCGTCTGAATCAAAGCTGCTGGGCGCCTGTGGACTTGGTGCAGCTTCTTCGGGGCTCGGTTCGCCCGCTTTCTCCGTCTCTGAGTCGCTGTCCACATCTTGGCCGAAGCACCAAGGTGCTGGTTGGCTCCGATGTTTTCTTTTTGGGGTCTTTGTTTTGCTCTTGTCTGTTGGGCTGGGGAAAACGAAACCTTCCAATGTACATATTAGGAAATATTGTTTGCAAGCAACAAGCTGTGCAAACAGAGTTGTGATCAATTCATATCTCACATTCACTCACCCAGCACAGTCATAAGGAGTCTGCCATCGCTCTTCAGCTTCCTTGCCGTGGCAACATGTCTCAACCCTGTTTCGCAAGGGAGGGGCCTGTGCTCAAAATTATCTAACTGCTAAATTCTTAAATGAATTGATCATGAGCTTTGTCAAGTGTGTGATGGCAATCATCTTGAGAATCATTGCCAAGTCATATGTCAAACATAAGGCCAATAGCGTCAATATGAAACATGAGGACTGTCACCCCGCTCGCCCGGTGGTGCGCAACTCTGTTGATTTCTGTGGCCCGCAAGCCAAGAGCTCTAGTGGGCTTTTAACTGCCGTCCCCAACCAGCCACCCTCCCCTTGTTGCCTTCCCTCGGCCTGTGGCTTTTGGATTTTGCGAAATCAAATTTGGTTCGGCTAGCAAGTATGCTCAAACACGGTGACTCCAGGACGCCGCAGCGTCGACATTTCACAGTCGAGTCCTGTCCTGTTGATGGCAGGTGCAGGTGCAGAAGTGCCGTCACCCAGCAGCATCTCTTCGTCGTCAGACTGGCCAAAACATTCAATGTCGGCACAACAGGCTGTATGAATGCGTCTGGGCTCGGCGCGAGCATAGCACCATTGCCGAGGTACTCCTGCGATACACGTGCACATCACCAGTGCGGAGGATGGGCACAGCCCGCCGTCAATTGATAAGTGATTTATCTTTTCTTTTGTGCTCAACAAGAAGCGTTCCTGCACCTTGCCGGGTTTGACTCAAAATAGGCACTGGGACGCGCAAAAAAAATCTAGAATTTGTGGCTTCCCGCTGGTTTCTGTGTTAACCAACCCCAATAGCCCCTGCCCAACATGGAGCACGGCATTCGCTCCTCGGGCTCTGCAGCTGCCTCGTGCTGAAATTAATTTTGAGGTATGCATATGGAATTGCCAATAGTCGAGTTTCTCAATGATTGATGCCCACGGTTCAAGTCCCAGCCTCTGGCAACACCACAGCTTCCCGCAGGGTCTCTATGACAACGACCTGCAGAAGCGTAAAGCGCCAAGAATCACTTACAAATACTTGCAGCTTTTTTGGAAAGCCTTCACGACTGAAAAACAACAGCGACAACAGCAACAGCGTTGCAAGCGCCAACAGCCAATTGTTTCATTGCAAGCACAGCGTGAATTGGTCCAGGATGTCCAGGGAACCGTTCCTGTGAATCGGGGCCTGTGACTCCGATCCCAGGGCGCAAAGCGGGGCAGGTGCCGGAGGCCTGGGATATCAGTTTGCCAGAGGCGCAGTTGCCGCAGTGATGCTGGAGAGAAGAGAAAATCGATCATCACGATGGGCGTTTGACAATGGGCAAGGATGGTGATGGTGATGATAGTGGTGGTAATGACAGTTTTGATGACGACGATGACGACGGGGACATTCTAGCCGGTACGGCCATCATTTCGATTGTTACGAACAGCTGTTGTAGAAAAATATTGGCTCAACCACTTGTTTGGGCTGGCTGGCGAATTGCAGCCGCCAATATCCTGAGGCCGCGGCGGAGCCAACCGCAACGCAGGCGGCCTGGCACGCCAGCACGTGAGCATCTGGTAGGCATTCACTTTGTCTGAATCAGTGAGCAACTCGTGTCTATCGCTTCCTCTTCACACAAATTATGGCGGGATAAGCCTGCCCAATTGTGGAGCAGGTGGGGCAACCTGCACAGCTGAAAGAAGCTTTGAAGAGAAGCTTGCAAAAAAAACAAACGCTGCGTCAATTCAACGTCTCGAACTTCATTGCAACACGCCTGCCGACCCCCGCAGGGGGGGGGGGCAGCAGAAGTCGGCGGACTGAACCGGAGGTGCTAAAGCTCATACTTTAATTGCCCCGGCCTGTGTGGACGCAACGGCTCTGTGCCCTGCATCCGGCCATGCCTAGCTCAAAGGTGAGATTGGCACAATGTATGGCCGCATTTTGTGACTCTGCTCTCCTGCGTCTCGGGGACTTGAGGTGCAGCACGTGTCTGCAGCGGGGCAATTGTCCTTTCGGGTGAGCCCGACCAGGCACCATTCACAAGGATGCCAAAGCTTTGCTGCTTGGCAGTCCATGCCAAATGGACGGAAACACGACTGGCCACCCTGTCGGTCCTTGCCAAAGGCGCCAAGTGAAAGTTTTTAAGGAAATACCGGCCATACTCGGCCTGGTCGTGGAATTCAAGGCAACCAAGAAGACAAGTCACACACCTTCTTGCATCCTGCCTCCATCCAGCACTCCTACCCAATGGTGTATGTCAATGGTCCAGTTGCCAGTGCCTTTGGGAGACTTACTATGTCACACAAGGGCTGGACGGGGTAGGACTTTGTATTTGAGATTTGACTGCTGAACATGATTGATTGATAACATGGGCTGAGAACCCAATGACACGCAGCTAGTTCTCTGTCTGGTCGGCGTTCGGGTGGATTCAAAGTGCCATAACTGAGGTACACAAACGGAAAACGTGGAATGGAGAAACAACGAGGAAGCTAATGGCTAAGGGGTTCATAAGTCTGATCCCAGCAATCCTTGGTTCCAAACAACACAACAAGTAACACAAGTAAGAAGGCATCTGCTCCCAAATAGCAACTTGTTGCTTGCCTTGCTTCGCTTGTACTGTGCGCACAAACCTCAGAAGCCCGGCTGCAGCAACCGCGAAGTCACATCGCCATGTGAGTGGCTATGAATTTTGCTGGGGCGCCCTCAACTGTGGCTGGTGGGCGCGAAATCCCCAGCCAAATGAAGCCCACCAAAGGGTCCGCTAACATCCTCATGTGAATGCATCGTCTCAGGACTGAATTCTGGTATGGCTCGATTTGTTGCCCCGTGACGCCGTGCCTGCACACTTTTCGGATTTGTCGCACAATGCAAAATGTCGATCATTAACCCATGCCATTGCAACGCCCAATTGGCTGCATGGACCAGCTGTGCAATTGAGCACGGCTTGTAACACGCATATGAGGCGACCCGTCGGTCGCTGGGTACAAAACAAGTCATCCATATAGGCATGTGCTGATGAATGAAAGGGATAGCTGAACTGCTAAGGCTCTGATCATTGCCTTCATTGAATCATTAGTTGTGTGTGGTCGTCGTGACGCGCTTCACTCCAAAACAAAATAAGCGGAAACATAAATTGCTCAGCTGGCCACCAAGCTATGCATCAGCCTGTAGAAACGAGGTTGCGCAAGTCGAGGCGATCCTTGGGCTGCGCTTCGGGAACATGGTTCAAACTGCGCCTAAGGCTCGCACCAATGACACATAAGGTGAAGGAAGCCGTCTTGGCCAAGTGTAGACCTCGACACAAGGCTAATGGAAGTGACCCCAGCATCTGACTGAGGCATGAGCCAAGGAGTCCACTGTGAGGTGCCTTGGGACAGTCATTGCAGCTGGTGTGGCTGCTTTGGCCTCGGTCAATTCTGCGAGTGCAAGCCACTTGCGCGCAGATTGCTCAGATGTTGCACAACTTATGAGGTGCACCTGCAAGTAAACCTAGCCTTTGATTGAAGGTGTATCCTGTGGTGTTCTGATTTTGCAGATTTTGCGCCCCTCGCTTTCTGCACCAGGCGGCCACTGGCATGAGAAGCGGCAGCGAGGATGCTGATGCCTTACAGCGCATGTGCCCCACGCCCGGTCGAGCACTCACATTGACATAATTAGTTCGAGTCTGCCCAACTCAGTTTTGTGCAGCACAAGGAACAAGCTCCCAACCCCACCCCCCTCATATTGTTGCAAGCACCATTCAACACAGCACACCCTTCCACCCGTCTACATCCTTCCGCGCTTGTACAACGCTTGGAAAGCAAAGTCCTATGGTTTTGTCTGAAACATGTTGCCAAGGCAGCCAAGCCACCAAGGAAGTACTGCCCCGTACCATACGCGGGGATGAATCAGGCCTCAGCCCGCGGTCAACCACAGAGGGAATGATTGCACACATGGAACCAACAAAAGGTGAATAAGGGTGAATAACAGTTGCGAACTGAAGGAACGAGGGAAGCTGTGTGCATGGCACAAAGGATGCATGGCCCAGGGCCCCTGCGAGGCAACGTATGCTGGACTCCCGTCCGGCCTGAGCACAGGGCCAAAGAAGCCAAAACTGTGCATTGGATGCCGCGAAGTCCTTCCAGTGGACGCGACAATCTTGTCAAGCCCTATGTTGTGGCATGTTCTGACAAGCTTGGTCCGGCGCATCAGAAGTTGACCGCCGACATGAAGCAAGTGTTGCTGCAGCCTTGGATCAAACAATGCTTCTGCAGCAATGTGAGGTGATGCTCAAGCAACATCGTGCTTGTCATCATTGCATCACACTCAACTCTTACATTGTACCAAATGGATGTTGCTGCTATTCATAGAATACTGACTAATACCATAAATTTACAAATATATTGCATATCAAGCTGCTCACCATGTAATTTGGCTCCAAAGAACGCCCGAGGAGAGGCTCCTTGCGGCGTATGCACCGTGGCTATCGCGGGTCCCAGTGGTAGTGGACGAGGTTGAATCACCTAGGATCGCATTTTTGAGCGAGGCAACAACTCATCGTTTCTATTCCAACGTCGCATCGACTCACTCCCTCTTACACCCAGTGGGAGCCTGAAAACAAACCGCTTCAAAGACGTTTTCCGCATACATTGCATTCCTTCCACAGCCTAACTCAAAGCGCCAAGCGCCCCGAAAACACACCTACGCACTGCTGGCAGCAATTGATCAACAACTTCTGGCTTTGATTTCAAGTTCCTCGCCTGGGCAGGCCGAGATGGAGGTGCGCTCTGCGAAGGTGGTCCCTCCTGAACATCGATCACGAGGCCATCATTGCTTTAACATAATGAAGAGAGTTGATGTCCGTCCTGCTAAACAGTCAGCACAACGTGATAGCCAGTCCAATACTAGACCATATCGACCGCATAAGATCAATAATGGTCGCAACTCCATTGGGCATCGTCAATTGATCCATCTTGTGGCTAGAAAACATAAGTCTGCCTGCACCAAGTCAATCATTAGATGTCCAACTGCAGAGTAACCCCTGATCCTGCTGTCAATTGTACGATGTTGGTCCCTGAATACTGACGGCTGCTCCGTGAGGCCGCCAGCTCAGGGGCAGGCTCAATTCACCCAATGCAAAAATCAACCGAATGCGCGGTGCTCCTCTACTGTGTTTGGCGAAGTCTCTGTTCTTGGAGTGGCCTGTGCAGGCAGAGGTGTGGCACAAGATTCGGCTTAACACAGCTTGTCAATTGCAAAAGACCACTGAGTCTTTCCCACAATTGTATTGACTCCGATACGAGCAAGCTTGGTCTGCGCCTTTAAGGAGGATGCGCTAGAGCATGCGGGTACTGATGATGGCCGAGTTCGCCCAATGGAAAATCGTTCACCTGGCGAACAAGACTTGTGATGTCACGTGTTTGCGCCCCCTGATGTTCTCACAAGTCAGAGAAGACATAATCCCTTCCCCCTAAAAGCAACCCCCCCCAGCCCCATGATCAAAGCAATCTGCGGGATAAAAATATGTTTCACCAGGGGTCCCCAGTTGCAGGCTTGGGGCGTCCTATTCATTTTTCCAAGAAGGGGTGCTTGGTGACTAATGGAGGGGGTCCCCTGATAAGGCTGGAAGAGAGGTTAGTGCGAGACATGTTGAGTTTGCTATTGGTTTCAAATTGGGCCATGCTAATGTAGTATTCAGCCCCCCGGGGTTTTGGAAAAACGTGCTATTAGGGGGATCTTTACTATCAGGGGGAAGGGATTTATGCTATACCTGCATACATGCTCGCATAGCACCCTGGGTTCTAGAGTTGCTATGTTGTCCAAAACATAAGGATGTCAAAATTTCATGCTTGTCACTGGACCGGTGTGAGGTTTGGAAACTACCACTTGTATAGCATGGCTGGCATGCATGATGGGAATGCAAGCCACACAGTGAAATACAACAATTGCGAATAATACTCGGCAGGTACTTCAAGCCAATGCTATTTCGCAGTTGGCAAACAAGCTCTGCGAGCACAGCGACGTTACTCTCGAAGATGTAATGCACAAATGCGGGAAGTATCAATCCTGGCATCTTCAGCAACCTGCAAAGCCCGAAACACTGCGTGGACAATCTTACCACACGCTTGGCGATATTCTTCAAGCGCTACAATTCCCATCAAGAATTGCAAGATATTGCAAGCCTCGAGCTAGGGCAGGATGCCTTGCAAACTCGAGATGGTATCAACTTGCTCTTTAACTCTGCTGCACATTAAGATTTGTGGCCGGCATTTTTCGCAGTTGAATGGAGCTTCCTGCACAAACCAAGGTCTCATTGATATTTCACAGTACACGTGCAGTACTTGATGCATGTCAGCTCCACGCCACGGGGATGCTCTCAAAACGTGTCCATCGGTTCTTCCCGCATGTATGGCCATACTAGATATGGCCATACTACCTGTAGAATGTTGTCCATACTCGTGGGCCAAGGGTCAGCAAAACTACGGCCTCGAGAGTCCCTGCGTGGGGTGCTGCGCGCTCGTCGCTGAACGGTCAGCAGCGTGGCTTTCAAGGCGACGTGCGCTTCAACGAGCTCTTCCTGGCGAGCCCGGTCGGTGCTGACTTCGACAAGATAATGTGCTGTATCTTGTCCACACCAGGCATGAAGTCTGCTTATGCTGGCTAAGCAAATGGCTTGCTTAGCGTATGAATCATGCACATTGATGCATCCACTCTACGGCCAGGTTGCCACCTTCACTCTGCGAAAAGCTTTTGTCCCAAGAAAAAATGCGGTCAAAGAAACACGTGCTCAGTTGCTTTCAAAACGACAACATTTATGGTTTCCACACCTCCCCAAAGCGCCTCTTCTGCTCGAAGCTCTTGTATTTCGGCTTCCACTTCCACTAAACGTTTTCTGGCCTCGCATGGCAATGTGCCAAGCAGGGCCAGCACATATTGCACCAAGCATCCTCTACAAGTGGAGTCATCAAACATGTCAGTCAATGGCGGGCGAGGCTATCCAGCAAACAACGCTGCAACACCTTGCCTGCTCTTTATCCAGGGCAGCAGCGACTGCGAGCTCCCTGGCTGTTGCCTCCTGATAGGGGGGTGGCGAGAACTATTTGGTTTACCTTGAACAAAGGTTATGCACGTAGGAGTCTCCAATTCGGAAGTACATTGCGTGTGTGTTCGATTGCTGGTACCACATCGGATTGGCATGCTCGGGAGCAAGTTGTATGCTCAGTCCACCAGCAACATCTGCCGGCCTTCACACCGCACCGAAACCGAAAATTACATGCCAAAACTATGCAGGGCCTGTCAAGCATCCACAGCTTGCTGATCAAGTGCTGGCGCATATTCCCATCCCTCCCTCCTCTGCGTGAGCCTTTTGCAGCTCGTCAACCTGCTTGCAAAGGGCCAGCATGCAGCTCCCTTGTCCCATCACTCAGGACACGTGCACTTACATTACCTTCTGATCCGTGGACTCTGAATCGGACCTGCCAGGGCCTGCCTGATCAATTTGGAAAGTCAATCAGGCGATGATTCTCCCTGAAAGTTTCTTGAAGCAACTTGTTGGCTCGAGCCATTACTTGGCTGCTGTCGCCGTAGCAAGCTCTGTCCCATAGCTTCAGTTACACAAATGCCCCAAGCCGCCTGGGCGACCAGCGAATTCCGCTCCAGGGCTTGTCGCTGCTTCAAGTCCTGGACGGCACATGGAGGATCTCTACCCACGTCCCTCGGAGCACACGTTGACCGCTTCGCAGGTAGGCACTTGAAAGGGCTCGCCCAATGAGACCGGAACAACACGTGCGTTGTGGATATTGGGAGTCTGGCTGAGAAATAGGCTCTTATGCTGAATGCAAATGTATTCCATATGCGTACAAGGTGCGGAGAACTCTGCGGCGACGTTGGCCTCATCTTTTGCTGCTGCCTCCTCCAACTCCTGCAAATTGACAAGCAAGCACAGTTTGCAATTCACGTGCGAGGGGGACAACCCGTACGACCTCATGTTCAGAGCTCCATGACAATTTAGGTCCTTCATGTGACGTCGCAGATCTTCGAGCAAGCCTGAAGACTGGGTGCTTGCCAAGTGTACCTTGTCGTCCACCTTGGAAAGCTCCTGCGGGCAAATGTGCACAGGAGACAGGATGAAGATTGGTGACTCTTCAAACGTAGCCAAAACTGTCCCCGCAGTGCAGCAAATAGATGGACCCCTGGGGGCCAGGGTTCCTTCGAGTGGCTTTGCAAGGAATCCAAGAGCCGTTCATGTGGGATGTGGGGGGCCTCCGACTCTGAGACACTCCAGGACGCCTCAAAGTTGAACACCTATCCAAATGGTTTGCGCCCTTTTAGCTTCCACTCAAAATTCACTGCAAGGGGACAAGCTCGGAAACGTTTCAAACACTTCCCGACTTTTAGTCGCAACATAGCTCCTCCTCAAGCTCACGCCTCTGTGAGCGCAGCGTGAGGATCCTCAATACAAAAATATGCTCTCGCTGCCAACTCTTGCAGCTGCAGGTCTTGTTTGCTCTTAGCGCAAGGCTAGTAAAGCCTCCAACAGTACCAAGCTAGATGCGAAAAGGTACAGGGGATGGCCACCCCGCATAAGGATTAGGCTGGAACCATCCCCTTTTGAAACCTGCACGGGAAAGTGCTGTATTCCCGACAAGGATAAACAATATATGTTGAACAGCAAAATGCAAACCGGGACTTTACCACACCAAACTTGTACTGGCCATGTTTGATCTGCGATGCCAGCCATGCATCTCTTGCCCTCGTTTCTGCGACTCTTCCACCAGCTTCTGCTGGGAGTCCACCAGGGATTGGCGGCACTCCTGCAGTTCTTCCTTGACAATGGTCCTGGGCAGTTGCAGGCTGCAAAATAAATGCTCGAGTGATTCAAAACACAGTAATATAATATATAGTATAAGCAACGGCATCACCTCCAAACTTTAAAGGTGACATGGAATTATCTCTGGCTTCATTTCAAAGGGGTCGCCTGCGTACAGTGTTGCATTCGTTGGTTGCCTTCATTTTACAGAGTTTTAGCCCCACTAAGATACATGTCCTTGAGGCGGAGTCTTTTGGGGATCCCCCAAATGAATGCGCAGCCTTGTGGGTTGCACACCCCTCAGCGTCAAATGAGATAAGTTGGAGGCAGCCTGATTTTTCTGGTAGATTGAGGTGAACATGAGGTGAACGGCTGCCATGCGTCGTGGTTCTGCGTGACACTTGATCATTCCTGCTTCCGGAAAGCCGGACAGTTCCATCTTGGCGAGCACCAACATCTCCCTCGCGAATGTTTCGCGGCTTCATCGCCGCGGCCTGTTGTTTGCAGTGTGAGCTTTCGAGCCATTTGCGCTGCTGCAGCTACGCTTGCAAGCGCAGCCAGGGCGCTTTGTAGCTGCTATCCTGCGGCCGCTTGCACTTGCGGGCTTGCAGCTGCGTTGAACGAAAGCAGTCAGTGTCATGTGTTCATTTGGGCGGTGTTACAAGAAGTCCTTTGCGCGACAGGTTTTGATGAGGCAATCGCTTTCACGGATTGACTTGGTTTGAAGTTCTATTTCGGTTTTGCGGACACACGGGACAACTGCAATTTTGTTCACGACCAAGCTCTTTCGCGACCCTTCCACGAGTACGTGAATGAAAAAAAAGTGGCTTCGCGAGCCCTTCCGTGGCCTTGGAAAAACTCATCACCGCAAACTTGGCTCTTTTCTCACGAATGCCAATTTCAAACGCACTGGTTTAGAACGTCGCTTGTGCTTGCCGGCGTCCTGGACCCAACGTGCAAAACCTTGCAAAAAGCTCTATGGTCTTCTGCCAGTCTTTTGCGGATCTTCCGCGAAATTTACTCTAAAATGCCAGCCAACGTTTATGGTTGCTGTCTGTTCCCACCACGGGCGCACGCAAAGGAGCGGCACACCTCCCTGTCTACAAGGGAGTGGCGCCTACCAAAAAAGCGTACAGGCATACCACGAAGATTTATCTACATATTTTGACAACAAACCCTTCTGTCGCAGGCTCCTTCGCGGGCATGGTCCTGCGCATGGCGAGTCCTTGCAAGGACCTTTTGGTTAACTCCAATGTGGAGGCAAGGGGCTCAGCAGCCTGCATCAACTTCTCTCGCAGCCCAGGGTTGGTAGTAGCAGGATCTTTGCCTCAAGGTCCAGCTAAAACTGAGTCAACGCCGACGTGGATTTGATTCGGCCACGACTGTGTGAACAGCCACTGGCATTCCCTTCACATAGATAGTTGGTGACAATGCTGGGTATCAGCGGTCCCATGATCCTGTAGGTATGTAAACAGCAAATGTTATCTGAGTGACAATGATGTAGCTAAAAATCAAGTATCTCTGCCAATGACACATGTAACAGTTTGAGCTCAGCTGCTGCTTCCACCTGAACGGCGGCTCTGTCGACCGCCTGTCGATGTGGCAAGCGGGTGACAAGGACCAGGCTCCAAATTTTCCAAACATGGGATGAGGTATGAGATTGCATCAGCAAGTCGAATCACCAAAATAGCTCCTCTCAACCTGCCAAGCCCCCCACCTTCCAAATATCCTTGGAGCTGGTCCGCTTTCCGGCCAGCACGGCCCATTGCTTGCTCTGCGGCAGTGGTTAAGTTCACTTGGCGCCTGGGAGCAGGCACGTGCGGCACGCCATGACCCGATGACCCTTCTGACTTCTGAGGTTGGGATGCACAGCTTCGGGCTCCGTGGCTCCGTGGCTCGACTGTCGCAACGACTCCGTGGACTCATGATTGCTTGGTTCCCAGCAGGCTGGCAGGCGGCAGCTGTTTCACAAAGTCATCGTGGGTGGCCTCATGCCAGCCCAACTGGAGTCTCAAGACAATTCACAGCTTGTCTTCGATTTCCGATTGAACGGTAGGGCGCCAATCTGCTATTCTTCCATGTTGATGCACCCAAGCTCTGCCTCCTGCAAGCCGGGCGCTAACCTTTGAAGCGTTGATTTGGCTTTTCCATGTCCAAGCTTGAACCAATTGAAAGGTCCCGGGTAAACTCCACACAATTTCCAGGTGAGTTCATGAAACACGAGCCATCGCACCTTGAGCTGCACAGACCGCCGCTGCGCTTCCCTGACGCAAAACAATGAAGTGGCCGCAGAACAAGCGATCTTCAAGAAGTTATGTGCAACCAAGTCAGGCGGTTCAGTTGCCGCGCACATTTTGCCTTTGCACTGCTGTGCAAACTCAGAACTCATCGTGGTAGGAATCCCATTTATAATAGTCTGTGCTTCTGAACGATTTCTGATTTCCGATTTTGCGACAGGCTGGTCCCCGTGGCATCACCAAAGTTGGAGGGCAAGACCTTGGCACTCGGCCTTGGCACATGGACGCCACGTGCACATCAAATCCATCGGCCCTCGCCTCAGCTCCGCCAGGTGCTGCTCCAACGACTGCGCCAGGCTCTTCGAAGCGTCTTCCAGTCCAGCGCGCTCCGCCGTGATCCTTGGCTAGCATTGCAATGAGCCTCCGGTTGAGGTGTGGCTGTTTGAGGTGTGGCTGTTTGATTTAGTGAAAAGGACAGGGTTGGCTATCCAACCCAAGCAGAAATCATGTCGTGTTGATCATGGTGCGGTGGCTACCAAAATTGTCTGCTGGAAAAATATGACCTTTTAGCTTATCCTGGAATGATCCTCGAGGCATGGCAACTCCTGTTCAGTCAATGCGGGTGCATCGGAGCACCCAACAAAAGCGTCGCTTTCCAAGAGCCCCCAGCCGCCGCTCAGTGCCATCAAACGGCATGCTGCCACGGCGCTGGTCCCTCCTCCTACGGGCCTCGGACACCTGCACCTCCAGATCTTTGAGCATCGCCAACTCATCAGCCTGGCAATTTATCGATTTCTTGCAGGCAGGTCCCACATCTTGAAGCTGACTGCATCGCCTTCCAATCTCTCCGAAGATCTCTTCAGGCATGTTTCAGGGCCCAACGTGATAAAGCAAATGACCAGTTATCAACCAAGGTTCCTTCTGGTTCCTACACAATCCTCTCGCCAAAATATGTCTCTGTATGCAACGTCCCGGCATGGGAAGCTTCCACCTCACTTTCCGGTTTCAGTTCCAGTACTGATGCCAGATCCTTACAAACTCCCTTCTCAAGCAAGCTTCCGTCCAGGTAATCCGTTGTTTCCTATTAAGCTGCTGCTGGGTGCTGCTGGGTGCTGCTGGGTGCTGCTGGGTGCTGCTGGGTGCTGCTGGGCTGCTGCTGCTGCTGCTGCTGCTGCTGCTGCTGCTGCTGCTGCTGCTGCTGCTGCTGCTGCTGCTGCTGCTGCTGCTGCCTGGCAGCATGAACGCAGCTGGCATCTTGTACATAGCTCGGAAATATGGAAGCAGGATGAAGTAAACTGGCTTCCCCTGCGCTTTGGGAAAGGAACGTTGAGGTCTCTGGCGATGCATCCGGATATCACTCACGTCGGCCTGTGATGCATACTCCTTGAGATGCGCTGCGATCTCTTCCTTGTGGCATTCGACTGCAGATTGAGTTTCCTTAGCTAGGTGCAGCGCACGGAAACATTTGAACGCTTCTGTATTAGCTTTTCCTAGACCAGATTAGAAGGAGACCTCCAAGGTTGCCATCACGCTGAGGGGTATCACTTTGAAACGGGTTGCGCTCTTGGTTACTTTGCCAGGGACATGGAATACTGGAAAACATGATGCTTTTTCTTTCTGGAGTCGATTGCCTTCAAGCTGTCGGCTTCTGCCAGGTCTTGACAGGCCTTGCTCTCCAGCTCCGTTTGCTCCCACTCCTCCTGCCGCACGACCAGGATAGAGGCCACATGTGTGTGTGTGTGTCAGGATTGGCATATTGATCACTTTCCAGTTCGCCATGGGCCAACAGGGCCATTGATCAGCAAGGATCTTTCAAGGGACGGCACAGCTTCGCATGGCTTAATTGTACAAATCATTCAGTTGGTCTTTGCAAAGTGGAACCTATCAACCATGGACGATTTCAGATCATAGCACCCCAACCCCTCTTCCCCCACTCACCCATCCTTCCACCGAATAAGCCCGAAAGCCTTCATAAACAAGTTGATGCCCGCAAACCTCCTAATTGTTTCAAGGGGAAGTGTGGATGTCTTGCATAGCATTGCGTTCTAGGGGCACAAAGATCTCTATCATGTTCACATTTTCAGGGTTCGAATCCACAAGCCGCAGCGCGAGTCCAATGTGCCCCAGTGTCAGCCCAAAATGATCTCTGTCAATGCCTGAGGCCTTCACCTTGGGCTTCCTCTCATATGGCTATGATTTTTTTGGGGGTCTGCAACGCGCGACGCGCCACGAATCTTGTTACGGAGGTCTGTAACGGAGGTCCTTGTTACGCAGGTCTGTAACGGGACAAACATTTCATGACAAGCAGTATCCGTAGCGCAATGTAGCGCAGCACAACGAGGTATGTAATGGCTACGTAATGAGGTCTGTAACGAGGCAAAGCAAAGCGCAGGACGCAAAGCGCGCCTCCGCAGCCCCAGCTTGATTGCAGCTACTCAGCGCAAGCCAAGCTGCGGCAAAAAGCGGGGTCGCTGGCCCGGGCTGGGGGTTGGGTCTGTAACGAGGTATGTAACGGCTATGTAACGAGGCCTGTAACGAGGCCTGTAACGAGGCCTGTAACGAGGCAAAGCGAAGCGCAGGACGCAAAGCGCTCCTCCGCAGCACCAGCTTGCTTGCAGCTATTCAACGCAAGCCAAGCTGCGGCAAAAAGGGGGTCGCTGGCCCGGGCTGGGGTTGGGTATGTAACGAGGTCTGTAACGAGGCAAAGCAAAGCACTTGATTGCAGCTATTCAACGCAAGCCAAGCTGCGGCAAACACAGGGCAGTCACGTCACTGGCCCGGTTTGTTCATCTGAGGTCTGTAACGAGGGCGTGTAACGAGGGCGTGTAACGAGGGTGTGTAACGAGGGTGTGTAACGAGGGGCGTGTGCCGAGCCAGCTGGTTTTGTTACAGAGGTCTGTAATGAGGTCTGTAACGAATGTCCGCCGCGGCTCTGTTACAGACCCCTCCAAAAAATCACTGCCATATTTTTTGAAGAGAGGGTCCAACACATGAGGTTGTACAAAAACCTTGTGTTTTTGAGAGTCCTTTGAATTTGAGTTATCATGTTGTTAACTCCTTAGCGTTTTGCGGCTTCCTGTGATGTCTACGCTTTCAACCTCGGAACCGCGATCTTTTAGCACATGTAGCGCGCGAAGCACAATTTCGCAGCTCCAGCTCGAAAATCGCAACTTTCAGCACACACGTAGTGCACGAAATACGCTGGACAGTCGCGCAACTTTTCAGAACTCGAAGTACACTTTTGGAAGCTCTGGCTCGAGCATTTCAACTTTTCAACGCACACACTCACACACACACACACTCACACACACACACACACACCCGTGTGCACAAACCGAATTTTGGCAGCTGCAGCTCGAAACCTCAAGCACCCGTGCAGCACCACACAAGCAACATTTTGTCAGCTACAGCTCAAACATCGCATATGTTGAGCCGTTGCACTCAGGAAACGAGCGGAGCTGAAGCTAAGCGAAGGCAAACTGTCTGGGACACGTTATCGTTTTCGTTGTCGCTTTGCTATCATTCTTGCTCAGCTAACAAGTCAGGCCTGTTTGCCTGCCCAATGAGCTGCTTCCAGTTGACAAGGCGATCGTTCTCGCTTTTAAGCCCGTCTTGCTTGCAGTAAACGGGGCAGTTTTGGACACAGGGGCCCTCCGAACACTAACCTTATAAATATTAACAGCAAACAACTCGAATGAGATGGCAAAAGGTTCCTGGTAGAGGGCACCAAGCAACGCGCTCACCACTGCCCTCGACCACAGCCTCCAAAGGCCGAAGTTTTTCCAGCAGGGCACGACGCTTATCCTGACTCGGCAGTGATTGCCACGCGCTTGTCTGCCACACCAAAAGGAAAGGACGTCCATTCTACACTACGAGTATATATCTTGCGCTCCGGAGGCCGGACATTCACTTTTGCGAACTATGCTGAAAAGTGGAAGTCCGACTTTGATGCAGAGCAACGGGCCCAGCTGACCTAGCGAAAAAGGCTGGCCTGCTCAAAGAATCCATATCAACACCGGCAAAAAACTAACTCCTCAGCAAGGCAACCAAAACAGTGAACATTCTGCGCCCTCATCCCTCACCAGTCGTGCCAGCGTGTTTTGACAAGCCTGCCAAAAGCCAAATGCGTCGAATGAGCCAGTGCGTCCTCTCAACTAGCGAGGTGAATTTCATCCCCCGTCTGGCCCATATGCCGCGTGGCCTCGAAGCTCTCAGTCTGCTGCTCCAGCGTGCGCAAACGCTGCTGGGCAGCCAAAGCCTCCCAAAATCGCAGGGAATAATAAGTTGGTTGCTAGGGCAACAAGGATGCAAAAACACAATCGCAAGTAATTTTGAAGAGAGAACGACCAGTGTTTTGCCATGGGCTTCAAGAATCCGGAGAAGCACGGGACGGGAAGGAGCCAATGATTTTTTGCGCAGCGCCCTGCGCAGTCTTAAAGCCACGCTGCGAACTAGAAAGCCGCCACGTGAAAGCGAACCAATCACCCGCCCCAAACAGAAGAACAGCTGACCCTCCCCTCCTGATTCCGCAGCTCTTCCTCTCGCTCCAGGAACTGTTGCTCGCTGTTGCCCAGTTCCATCTCCTGCTGCTGCAGCTGCTGCATCTCCTTCTCGGCCTTTGTTGTTCCAAATTTTGTTAACCATAGCGAGCCAAGCGCCTGGGCAACCTGTCGGCAAAAGGTTTACAAAGGTCTCACTCACGCGCGTCAAAAGGAACAACAAAACTTAGAACTGCGCCTGCGTGCAAGCAAGGCAATTTCAAGCCCCGGCGCCAACACGGCCAGCGCCGCCCATGAGAAAGGCGGGCGAGTGTTGTGAACACGCTTCTTGCCCGTTAGGTTGCTTGAAGTCGAGGCCCGCTAGATCTCTGCACGCCCGCGAAACGCGAGCAAACACTAACCAACAATGCCCATGCATGCAAACTGGGCCGACCTGCGGAGGAAGCACTTGCGTTGCGCGAGGCCAAGAAAGTCCGGATTAGTAGAGGGTGCCTTTGCTGCGGCGCGTGCCTTTGCTGCGGCGCAGACCAATGACTAACCAAGCCGTCGCGCGTCGGCGGCCGGCCTAGTTGATCTTGCCGCTTTTTTGACTGCTGTAGGCCGGGCCCGCAGTGGCAGTTGGCCCACAGTTGCTCACGCGCTGCAGGGATTGCAGCAGCAACAGCGGCGCAGGTTTCCGCAAGCAGCTGTCCCGAGGAGCGCGGCGGGCGTGCCATGCTAGCCTGCGCTGCCAAACGTTCATGCGCGGCAGTCTGAAAAATCCAGCCAAACATTGGCTTGGCTTCGAAGACCAAACGTGAGACCAAGGCAATCTCGCCGCTTCAGCCGATGCGCAGCCCGCTTGGTCGCTGGTTTGGGGGCCGGCGCTGCTTGCTCACAAATGCCGCCGGGGGCGGCAAGCGTGTCCTCGGCCGGCGCCCAGCAGAGGGCCGTGGGCTCAGCTGTTCAATGGGCTCCGTCTGCCAAGCAGACTTATAGCGTGTCAGCGATGTTCCATGCCTTGGTAGGGGACGAGGCCGCTCCATCCTTGAAAAAAACCAGCCGAGGCTTGCAAGATCTGCAGGGCAAGGACAGCGGCAGCTTTCTCCACAAGGACTGGCCTGACTGGCTATGGCAGCAAAGGCAAAGACATACGGGGGTGAAATAAAATCGGCTGGAGTCCTGATGGCTGAATACGTCGTCATGGCTCAGACTTTGTATGCTTGAGAGAACCTCTCCAACCAACCATGCTCCCCAAGAGCTCAGTTTTGAACAGGTTTGGACGACGCCAAACTTCCCTATTTTGGAAAGGGAGGAGCCATGCAAAATGGGCCAACATCCTTTGGCCAATTTGCTGCGATGTTGGGAGAAAGGTCATCTCATCCTCGTGTGTTCAGCATGACTTCACACATCTTCACACAAATTTCAATTGCACAAAGCCGAACAAATTGACGGTACAGTAGCATTCATCAAACGTGCTTGCGAGTCCGGTCCCATCTGTTTGGTGGAAAATGCTACGCCAAGCGGCTGCTTCGCTCTGCTCAATGTGTGCGTCTACCTGCCAGGGCTCTGCAAACTAAAGTGCAAACATGTCGTCAGAAGAGCCATGACTACAATATCGCCTGGAACAGCTTCTTATTTGCCAACCTGCATCAAACTGCACACATGGGACAGTCTTGGCTGATCTGGAACATTACCCTGTTGCCAATCCCAGAACCGCATCTTGCATAGAAACACGTCCTTGTCCTGAGCGTCGGGCAGTTTCATACAATATCCATGAATCTCTCGGAATAGAAGTGCCAAGCCGAAGCCAACACCGTCCTTTCAAGATCCATACCTAGCCAACCCAGCCCAAACGCATACTCAAATGACCCGCACATGCCAGCGAACGCCAAACATAGGCCTGTCTTTTCAAAAAAAAAACGAATCAGCAAACAGCCACAAACAAAGTTTGCTAGCAATGATTCGGCTCTCGATGAAAATGTGAGCAATCAACGACAAGTTCCCAATCCATGTTTGTCTGTGTCTGGGCCTGGGCTGTTGTGGCTGAGTGCATCGCACACGTTCTTGGGTTGAAGCTCCACACTTGTTTGGCAATAATTGGCCAGCTCCCAGTTTCGCAGTCACAGGACCTTGATTTCAAACCACGCCTGCTGAGTAGTTCACGCGTGTCTGTCAATTGCTCGCAGAAGTCTAAGTGGACTTTGGCTTTAGGGGCCACTTCAAAATCATGTGCTTTCGTGGTCATGGACCAAACTGCATCTCTGACTCTTTCCCTTGCGGCCTCAGCCTGCAGGCTCGTTGTCTGGGTGCGCACCGTTCGGAGCTGCCGCGCATGCTGACTTTTCACCTAGGCTGTATTGATTGGTGCAGCAAAGAGCTTCCTTCAGTCGCAGGGATGTGGGGAACAAAGCGGCTGGCAATTGCATCCAAAGATCCCAACACACTATACCTGACACACCCCAATCAAGAAACATAGCCACTGGAAATCCAGATGAACGGCAAACTCCCTTGGGTGAGTTGTCATGGCTCTGTGGTGGCGTGGGCAATCACGGCAGCCTCAAACTACTGCTAGAAGAGACAATCCATCCTACTGCTTTTTGTTGTGAAAACTGTGCATACATGCATCCTATCCTGCGTGGACAAAGCATAGTGGTGCAAGTGCAGGTGCTCCCTCTTTTGGGTCATGATGCTCATGCACTTTGACAAACTTGCATTTACCTTGCTTCAGTTGTTTGTTCATTTTCTGAAAGAGGGAGCGACAATCGGCAACTGTTGGGTCTCTGACTGCCCAAACAAAAAGTGTCCGTTTCTGATCGCTGCGCAACACAAATGCATGCACGTCTGGTCACGTTCAAAGAAGGGGACCAATGTATGTTAGGTTGCGGCTTACAAATGGCTGTCACTGTGAGGGTCACGCTTGGAGGATCAGCTCCAAACCTAGGTTGAAACCAACAGATTCTAAACCTGCTTAATGATGGCCAGTTGAAAAACAAATTCACGAAGCGAGTCACAACAAACACCTGGTAGAAAAGGGGGCGGACAAATCTATAGTTGGGACTCAGCCCTACTATCCTTCATCTACCCAGAATTTCATTGCGACTGGTTTGGCCTTTTGAATTCGGCAAGCGGATCAAGTGAACCCTGTTTGTTGACCCCGCAGCCTGTTGCTTGATGTATTGCGGGGCCAAAGAAACTCTTAGGGGTCAACAAAACAACAGAAAACGCATGGACCCCCCCCAACCCGCTGGTTCGGTGCTTTGGTTCGGTGCTCTTCCCGCACCCCGCCTTGCGCAGCGACTCCTCCGCTGCCTCGGAGCGGCTCAGGGCGTCTGAGAGCTCCAGCTGGAGCTGCTGGAGCTGGCCCTGACCGCCAAAAAATCCAAATTCGAAGCCATTGCAGCCAAATTGAAGCCAAAGGACACACACACAAACTTGCAAACTTCATGGAATCAAACCAAAATGAAGTCAATTGTTTCTTGACACTGACCGTAGCATGGGGCCATATGGGGTGCTGGCACAAAGCTGCGAGCAGATTTCTGAAGCTGTATGAATTCTTGGCGAACACCCCGCCTCCAGCTGTTTTCGCTTCCGGTCGGCTTTGGCGCGGCTGCGCGAGACCTTCCGGGCATGCAACATCCTGGTCTAACATGGCCATGGGTCAAAATCCCGTACCCCTAGTGAACATCCCAATCCCCACAAAAATAGACTACAATGGGTGGTGCACCTACCCCAATATGGTACCATTGGTTTCGACCCATCGCCATATCTGGACCTTGGGGCTGGCGCCATCCTTGCTTCCCCTTGTGCCCAGCACATGCGCCTCCCCTTGAAGCTTGGCGAGCGCCGTCTGCCGAGCTTGCAGTGCTTGTCTCGCAGACCCCACATCACGGATGCAGCGTGCACGCGTGTCGATATTGTTCAAATGCCTGGTGCGCAGCTCCTGCAGTTGCAGCGCATGTAACGTGTTCATCGCAGCATCGTGTCTGGTTGACAAGACACATGCAAGTAACACTGAAGGTGTCCTCTAGACGCATGCGCAGCTCTTCTCTCTTCTGGCGAGTCTCCTGATTCCAAAGGTCACGCAGCGTAAACTAGATCACTTGCCCGGTTTGACAGCTGTTGGATCGTGCCAGGCTCCTTCACATCCTCCTCCAGCTGGCCAATCGAGCTTTGGATGTCCCGCAGCGCGGCTTCCCCCTGCTGTTCTGTCAGCAGCTCGGAGCCCGATTTTCGAGCACCTGTACAGCATGTACAGCGACTCCGTACGATTCCAAACATTGTGTTACGTACGTAACCCAAAGCCTGAAACACGTCTCAAGTGCCCTCTTGAAAGACTGTCCCTTTGCCAAGCATGGGCGCATATTGCCATCAAGACTAACCCCTTAAACGCACAAGCAGCACCAAAGCTATTGGAAATCCCTGTTCATCTCAGCTTGTGTCAAACGAAGCTTGATGGACGCAGCAATTTTGTGCACAGCCTGCGTTGACCAGCAGCTCATGAATCTCCTGGGAGATCTCAAGGCATCTCTCCTCGTTAGCGGCTTTAACTTTGGCTCGCTCCTGGCCGCAATTCATGCGTTGCTCCTTGGACCTTGGAAATGATTTTCATTTGCGAAGAACGAAGGCATTGCACAGTGGCTGAACCGCTCAACCAAAACAAGCCAGCACTCTCGGCCTCCTGCATCGCCTGGGCTGCACAACCTGTACAAGGACAGTCAGTGTATCTAACTCTGCTCTGTTCGTTGTGTGATGAAGAGCTGTCTGCGTTGCCATGCAACTTCCCTGGCGCGTGCTTTCCACATCGCCTGGCCTGCTGTCTTTGCCTCCTCCTGCACCTGTGGAAGCAGCGCCCTCTTTTCGTCAAGCTGTGCCTTGGCTCACAGGTGCAGGCTGGCATTCGGAGATCAAAGCCCTGCAAGTGGAGCACACGTCAAGAAGTTGTGAGGAACGACAAACATCTGAACAGCTAAAACCCGCTTGACATCAAACGGGCCGAGCCCCCCGTCCTGCCTGCAGCTTTTCAGCTTCTGCCAAAGCTGCCTGAGTGTCCTGCAGTTGGCATGGTTCATTGTCAAATATCATGAGTCATGAGGGCTGAACTTAGGGCAAATCCGAGAAGTATGGTTGAGGAAGTCAATCCCAAGCAAGAAACACACACCTGTTTGTGAGCATCTCTGACAAACTCCACTGCAGATTCAAACGATCGCATTCCCAACAAAATACATTGCAATGCATGGTCCTACCTCTTCTTCCACCGGTCATGCAACACATGCACCTGTTTAGCAAGGCCACTGGTGTCAAGGCCACTGGTGTGCCCTCACACCGTGGCCAAAACATTTGAGTGGTGCTTTTTATTCCCTTCTAACTCGTTTGAATTATTCAACCTTCCGCCGGCCCTCCCGCAGCCTGCAGGGGTGCCTTCCGCGAAGCGTTTTGTTAGAAGAATTGCTTCCGCGAGCTTCTGCGGATACGACTTTACAGCATTAAGAATCATTTCGCTTCCGCGGACACAATTTTGGCACAGTTTTCGCCTATTTGCTTGCTTACTTGCTTCCAAACTTGCTTGCTTGTTGGCTCTTGCTTGCTTGCCTGCCCGCCTGCTTGCTTGGTGGTTGGCTGGCAAGCGTTCGCTCCGGCAAGCCGAAGGCTGCGACGCCTTCCACCTAGCGCAACCGTGCGTTGGGAAGCGCTTAGGCTTTCCCCGAGGAGGTTGAGGAACTGCTGCTGCAGCGCGCAAGCAAGCTGCCGCCTCTTCTTGGCACTGAGCTGCTTGAACTTGGCGGACGTTTTCATTTCATTCCTCGTGGAGAGTGGAACGGGGTATGTGGGCGGGTTGGTGGCCTACGAAGGGGCAACTCCGGCGCCACTTCCGCGCCTTCCGCATAGCTTTCGTGGCGCTTCCGCGAAGATCGGCGTTTGGGATGCTGCATTTTTTGGTTTGCCACGACTGCCTGAAACGCGCGCGCGCGCGCGAGCAAACCTCTCTTTCACGCGCACGCACGCGCGCGCACACACATACACAGCCTGAGCACTGAGGCTTCATTGGCCCACACCTCTCAAAGCTGGTTGTAAGAAGGACGGAACCATTGATAGAACTCCCTGGGAAGCCCCACCTCGCATCACAACTTCTAAGCAGGCCCTAGTTGACGACCTAAATGGCACACAATCCACTCGAAACCAAGCTGCTTCATTGTTGGCTCCTTTGTCACTTGCTTGTTTCACCAGCTGCACAAACAAACATACTCCGTAAGCCCTTCCGCGAGCTTCCGTGGAACAAAACCGTTCCACAAAGCTTCCGCGAGCTTCCGTGACTGTGGAGCGCATTTCCAAAGAACAAAGAATAATTTCCGTACCTTTACATGCGTAATGGAGGAGCAATGTCTTTTGCTCACTGCGTTTCCCGCCTCCTGCAACTTGGCACGCCAGGGCTCCAGCTCCGCCATGTGCTTCTCAAGGCCCAGCACTTGGCTCAAAACCACCTGGTCCATGTTAGTGCGGCTAAACCCAAGGTTGGCTTGGCAGAAACAGCATGAAACAGCCAAATAAAATTTAATTCAAGCCGCAATAGGATACAATTGACCATCAATTGGATTTCCACTGTTTCCGTGAAGTGTCTCACGTCGCTCAGCAAGCATAGGCCTGCCTGCATGTCATGTGGACCTTCGTCAAGTGCCTCACGAGCAACCCGATTCCGACCGTTCTGAAGAACTCACACAGGCAACCATGAGATTGAACGACACACATGGGCCATTCGCGACCATTCGTAGTTTGGGTTTTGGGACAGCATCGTTTCCAGCAATGTTCTCGAAATCGACCCTAGCCCCGAGCTGCAACTACAACTCATGCCTGACTGTGAAACAGCACGTGAAGTCGGAGGCAGCAAGTGCAAGAGCTGCCGAAACATCACAAGGGCCCAGTCTCTGCACTCTCATGTTGCACCTGGGCGGGTCTCTCTCCCAGCTTGGGCGAAGTGGGCACATCCACCTGGTCGGCAAGATTCGATCCTGCAACAAATACAAACGTGTGCAAGTATACAAACGTGTGCAAGTACCTTACCAAAAAAAGGAAAGAAACTGAAGGCACAACCGGTTTGCTCTTTGTATTCGTCCCTGTGCGCATGTGTTATTTGGCCTTGATTCTACATATCCTAGAACCTTAGAACTCAACTGGAACGACTGACGTGCATCAAGCAGATTGGACCACGCGTGCCTGCAGGGCGCGGAGTTCTGCCTCGGCCTCAAGTCGAGAGCCGAAGGTCCACATTGCCAAACGAGCGCCTGCAGCTGCTTGGTTACATTCCTACTATTTTGCGGGGGTGTGCAAATGGATTTGCTGACGTGACACTCATTTCAAGCAGGAAAATTGCTTGTCAGTCAATGACTGCAATGCTGCATTTTGCTTGGATTCCAAAGGTCGCTAGTGACACACCAAGTGTCATGCGGCGCTATTCAAGGAGCGCGGATTTAGGGTAAAGATGTTGATGGCTCTGTTTATACTTGACTTTGACTCAATCCACATCTTCACGACCCCCCGTTCTCGAAATCCAAATGTCCACAAAAGGTGTGTCTGCCCAGGAAGACCCCGAAACTGGGGTGGCTTACCTATAGCTCCCTGTGAAAAAGCCCGAGAAGAATCTCAAGCCTTCTCAAGCCGTCCGCGCCTGGATGGCCCTGAGCCGCCAGGTGCGGCTGGCCTCGTCCGCATCCAGCAGTTGCTGGCGCAGCCACTTCCGCACCGAGGCCTGCGACCGGTGCCCCGGAACCCTCAGGGGCGGCCTCTCGGGCCTCCGAAAATGGGTGACTTCCTTTTGGTTTGTTTCCGTTCAAAACAACCCCGACATCTCTCCCCTCCTCCAGTCTTTGTCATCAGTGCTCGACGCTCGAGCAGGTGATTCACGTGCATTTTCACACTTGTAGGGGAGATAAGCATTTCATCACTACATGCGAGCACAAATAACCAAGGAACAGAACGCCAACTCTGCCGACAAACATGTTCACAAGTCTTGACGCCTGCGAATGCAGACCATGTACGCATGTAGGTGGTTCCACAAATCTCACACACACACACACACACGCAGGGGACACACACCCAGGGGACACGCGCGACGTTTGTGGCTTAAGAACTTCCGGCGCTTGCCTCCATGCTGTCACAGCCGCATGGTCGGCACAAGCATCGATTCTGAATGGACGGATGTGCCCAACACTGATCAAAATGTTAGATTGTCGTGTCTCGATCTTGTGGGAAAGTGCTCAACTTGAAACAAGCACAACTTTCTTTCAGGGAGGGGGGTATGTTGCAATGGTTGCTGGAAGCAATGCAATGATGTGTATTTAGCCCCGCAGCTGCTGGAAACGGTTGTCAAGAATCTCAGATTTTCCGTGTGCTGCTAAGGTGCAACTGTGCATTATGTCCTGGGAGCTGCCACAGCGAACGCAAAGTCATCTGCAATGTATATGACCAGCTGTTTCAGCGGCGCGTCCTAGATCTTGCCTATTACTCATAGAAGTAATCATATTAAATGGTTCAAACGACTCCAGGTGAGCCACGGTCAAAATATATGTTTATCCTCATTGCAGAACATGGGAAGTATAGCAGAGTACCGTTTCTGCCGGGTAAGCTAGGCTCTCTAACGTCCCTCCCAAACTAACCATAAACTTCTTCTGGATATTTTGACCGCGACCCAGCTGGCTCTCTGATGCCGAACCTGGTTTACTTTTTCTTCCGGCGAATCCAACATCCAGCCTTCCGTGCCCGTTTAGCGGGCGCCAGCTGGACCGCTACGTGAGACTTCGAAATGAATGGAGGTTGAGAAACCGCTTGTTACTTTGTGCAAACATTCTGTATCATTGTCGTCACCTGTATGCAATGATTGAACCTTTGCAACAACTCTACCGCTGCATGACGTATCCGCTTCAATTTCCCAAGCGCATGCTGGATCGCTGAAGGTGCCGACACGCTGCGAACACTACTCACTGGCTGCTGCCTGCCCTGGCACATGCCAAGCGTTGGAAGCTGGCAGTCTTTCCAGCTGGCGCTTTTCTCAGCGAAATCCCCAATTTTGGACGGCATGCTGCAAGCCTCTGCGCTAGGCTGCGGGCGTGTGCTGGCATTCTGCCGCAAAGGCGGTAGACCTTGCAGAGTGTTTGTTCCCATCCATGCAAGTCGTGCAAAAATGCAGAATGTGCTGTAGTGTGGCTGCTAAGCAAGCCCATGGTGCGAATACGCAAGAACATATCCACTCCAGGAGGAGTTGATCATGCTCGCATAAAGATAGCTGCACCGAGGTGCCAGGCCTTCAGAGGTCTGGACTCGAGATCGGTGACACAACAACCTGGCTGCCACCTGAGCTTCAGTCTCAAGTCAAACATGCGAGGGAATAACAACTCAAGTTGCTCTTTATGCTCAGGTTCGATGCGCTTTCTGGAAAACATGCAACAGACAGCGGACATACGGAAAAAAACACTGCAATCACAATCACAATCACAGGAAGATGGACAGATTATGTAAAGACTGTGGGGTTAGTCATCCAAATGCGGTTTGGTGGAGTCCATCTGAACTCAGATTCATGCCCAAACATCATGAAAAGCAATGACTAGGCAAAGCCAACTGCAACTCAACCCCCAGTTCAGCTGCACGTTGTCCAAAAGCATGGCCCGCAAAACAGTTCAAACCGCTTACGCGACACATTCGCCTCTTACAAAAGCTTGCGCGGCGTTGCGCCTTTGTCGGCTGATATCTATATTTGTATTGTTTGAATTCATGCGCATGGCAACATGTTTTCGTCCTTTGGGTGCTGCCTTCTGCATTCTCCTGTTATCCGCGCAAGATACAGCAATGCTGCTGAAAACCTAGTTGTATTGCAAGACTAGCGTGTCTGGACAGTGGATTCTTTACAGAATGCAGCTAAACTACCCTCAACAGGCACGACAAGCATGATTTACATTGCCCGGAACGGCTTTGCAAGCTTGAGGGTTTCAACTGTATGCTTCATATATACACATATATATATATATATAGATGTATTCTGTTGAGAGAGACAAACACATTCATACAAGCATGTCGTCGTTGTCGTTGTTGTTGATTGGTTGGTTGGTCATGCAGTCATTCACGTCATCTCCGGTCACTCAGCTCGGGCCCGAGGCCCTAGCCCTTAGGCCCCAGTGAGCGGCGACCACGGGAGCGCGAGCCCACGCTCCACTCGCTGGCGTTGGTGGAGCCTAAGACATTCTCCAGGCTCACAGGTGACATGGGCTGTTTTGAAGGCTAAAAACGACTGAACACCGACGAACACCAGCCGATTTTTGGGCTTGGGGTCCCTTATATGAAAACATTCCCATGTGAAAACGTCACTCTTTGCAAACATGAGGAGTGCTACCATTGCTTTGCAAGTACTTCAAGTACTTTCTTCTTTTTTGAGTATGAGGGAGCGCGCAACAATTGTGTGGGTTCTGGGTGGGTTCTGGGCTGCGGGCGGTACTCCGTCAGGCTGGTCTTCTCGGAAAAGCTGGACTTCAGCTTCGGCAGCGGAGCTTGGAGCCTCGAGGCAGAGACGGCCTTGACGAAGGAGATTGGGAGGTTAGGTCTCCCATTTGGAACACTCAGAGTGACCATGGGCCCAGACCTCCCCACACTCAGGCTCACGCTCGCCAAGCGAAAGATCCTCAGACAAGCCCGGACCTGAGCTTTCGATTTACCACGCCGCATGTGCCACGGGTAAGCCCCTTCGGATTGTCTAGCCGTGGCTCGGGCACACTCTACACAACACAACCTAGTCATTTGCTGCCCACCAATCGAATTGTGCGACTCGCAGCAGTCTTAGCCTTTCGTGAACATGAGCTGGCTGAGTGTGCAACTGAGAGGTGATGACTCTCCTCTGCGAGTGGCGTTCCCTGGCAATGACCGGGCTACGGCGCCTACGTCTCTTCAAATCACAACAAGTCTGAGTTATCTTGCTGATTCTGGCGTGTGCCAGACATACCATGTACAGCAATTCGCCTCGGCGCTCAGATCTCGTTTCAGAACTTCGGTTTTCCCCTTTTCCCCAACCACGCCCCCCGCTCCCCTCCCCGTGTCTGCTGACCCTAAGATCCTGTCCCGCCAAAACTCAAGCATCTCCTGTTGGCCCAGGCCTGTCTGACCTGTCTGAGACTGGCCTCGCAGCCCAGCCCAACAGCGACCCGCGCAAGCAAGGCCAGCCCAGCCCGCCCAGCCCAGGCCCCAGCCCAGGCAGGTCAACCAGCAAAGGCTCATCCCAGCCCAACCAAGCAAGGCCCAGCCCAGCTCGCCCTGTCTGCTGGCTGAATGACTGAATCCTGGTCCTGCGCGTCGCCTTGCCCTGGCCTCGGGGATTCCTGCAGTACCATGAAATCAATTGGTCCAACGACGCCAGAACCTGTCCATGCCTGAATTGCCACTTGACCAGCTCTGCTGCTTGCAGTCGAACCACAAACACTGCGCGCTTGGCTGGGCCGAGGCGGGCAACGCGCAGAGTTTAGAAATATGTTTGTTGAAAACACCATCAAAAGCTGACGTCAGCTGGGCTCCCTCTTGAGTTTCCATAATATTCTGGCCAAGAATGAGAACTCTTGTCAAGCAACGACACAAGCTATTTGGCTAATAACAATGTGGCAACTAGTATGATTCCATCCCTGCTCCAATATCATCAAAAGGTCCGCTGCCTGCATTCCCAGCCCACTAGCCTCTCGTCTTGCTGAGCCTGAGTTGGCAAGTGCTGCAGAACACACACACACACACACACACGCAAAGTCAAAGGAACCTCTGAGGACGTCACAAAGCATGCTGCCGGCACAACAGGTGAGTCATAATCAAAACCTGGTACAAAAATGGTGAACCCAGAACCATGCAAGGAATTGAAAAGGCGGCCGCACCTATTTATGGCTGGGATTGTCCCTTACTAACCTTCATCTACCCGGGTGAGGTGGGAACACAACATAACAATGTGAACAACGTTGGGAAACCTTGAATTGAGGGCACTCTGTTTTTCGTCGGCTGCAGCGCAACTCTTATACAGTATACATCTGCCGGCTACTCTGCCGTAACTCCTGCCAACCTGAAAGTAATGAGCCATTCTTCACGGACAAGGCTCCTATCTTTTGTATTGAGTCGGCGGCTCATCAAAGGAGTGGAAGTTGTCCTCTTTCCTTGTCTTGTCCGCCAGTGACCTGGACTGCAGTGGAGAAATGGCAGTGGCTCAAAAAACCGGTACCAAAACAAAACCCTGGTAAGTGGAAACATGGACTAAAACCTCCTGTGTGTTTGCCACTGCCCGGGGTAGTGCCATGTTCTGATCGCTCTGGCCAAAGGAGCTGTTTTCTTGTCTTCTGAGAAGCAAGCTTGGCGGTCCACAAGGACGGCAGCACTCGCCGCTCCTGGTGCATGCGATATGGTCGTGTTACAAGTTTATCCACTCCCGAAACATAACCAGCGTCATCCGTAGCAATACTAGTCTATCCTCTGTAAACAAAAAACAAGAGAATGGCTCGTGCCAGCCCATCTGCAGCTGCAGCTATGCAGGCAGTCTATACGAAATCAATGGGTACAAGTCCCTTGCAATATGCAGAAGCAACTGAAATACCTGAATGCATGAGGCTGTGAAAAACTCGAATAGCTCTGATGCTCCCTGCAGCCAAAGCAAGGCCGAAAAGTTGCTGACTGGGCAAGGAATTTAGCGAGGAAGTTGGACCAGCCACAGCTGCTTATCAGGCTTCTCAAATTCATTCCTGTACTCATCATTCTTCAGTACTACGATTAGCAACGTAGGATTGCATCTGAAGTAACTGGCAATTCCAGGATCAGCCACCTAGCGTGGTTTGGCATGCTCAGCAAAGTGGTGAAAACCAATGAGAACCATGGACAAACATTTCTGAGCTTCTTGGATTTCTCAATGGACTGACCGTGAAATCAGCTGCCCTTACGACCACAATTCGCTTGCATCCCGGCGCTGCCTCCAAAGGACCTCAAGCAGCTCTGCAAGCAGGTTACGCATTCACGTTGAATGGCATGAACACGCAGCCGTCGTTTTCAACATCTGCTCGCTCTGGCAAAAACTAGAACGTTCGGGCTCGGCTGGGTCCCTGCCAAATCACTGCCAGGAGGCTCTTTTTCAAGCTGCCTGAAGAATGCTGGAGCTTCACCTTGGAACATGGTCTTGGGCGCACTTGACAGCGAGGTTGGGTAACTTGTGCCAATCAGAGTCAAACAAAAAGCCAAGACAAAGGGCACTACGGAACTACGTCTAGGGCAGCAACTGACGCGAGGGTGCAGCTGGCTTCCTAGTTTTCTTCATCTGGATCTTCATAGCAGCGGGCTGTCCCCTTCGCCAGCCGTGGCCCCAGGCCGTGCTCTCGATGGGGCCAGACACGGAGGCGTCCAGCTGCGACTGGCAAGTGGGCACGTTGGTCAGCTTCCATGGGTATGAAAAAAAACACTGCTCCATGCCACAACTGCAAATGCACGGAGTGGTTGATGATGCATCCCAAATCCCTTATTCGTGATTTTGTGTAGTGGTGCTTGTTGCTTCTTCATTTTGTGCTATGCACAGTGACCTGGATTGTCTTGAGAAACAGCGCAAGCAGTGAGTTCAGCAACTGGCGGTTCCGCTCAGTATGGAGCCAGCAGAACATGCCCCACAAAGGTTCGTGTCAACTCTGATAGCCACCTTACAAGCTGTCGTTCCATTCTACTGAGCACAAATTCAGCTGCGACGGAGCTAGGTGTGCAGATTTCACAGTGTTCCATATCTACAACATTCCAGTTCCATCTTGCAACTAGCCAGGCGCTCCACAGAGCGGACATCGCCAGGCACAACCTTGGGATGTGCGACTGTGGCGATCATATCCTGGCAGCGCAACAAGCAAAGTATATGATGAATGCATGTGCACATGCGGATCTCTTTAGCCTCTCATGCTTCACAACTTGACACAAGTGGCTGGGCTCAGAAACATGTGCTAAAATGGCACCTTGGTAAATGGAACCAACAACGACTAAACCTGCGTAACCCTGGCTCCAAACTTTTGAGCCATACCCAAGTATGCTCGAATGCGAGCCCTTCCTGATGTGCTTCGTCCACTTCCAGTGCGATGTTGATGGAATCAGCAATCTGGCACGTATTCAGCGCTAGCTCTGCAATGCAAGCACACCAAAACGGCACGCCATGCAAAAAAGGACGACTTACACGCAACATCTACAATGTTGACCCCATACTCATCAACTAGTTTATTAATAGGGGGGTGTCTCTGGGGTTTGGACAAGACCACCCCCAAGAAAATCAACTGGGGTTGATTAATATGTGTAGCCAGGCCGGTTACCACTTGAGCCAAGGCACGATGTCCATCCCAGCTTCAAACCGGCAGAAATTGGTGCGGCCGAATGCGCCAGCAACCTTCCAAGGAGCCGCAGTGGTGGGCGGTGCTGACTGCTTTGGACTACTGTCTGTGCGGAGACCCATACTCACAACGAAGGAAAATCATCAATGCCCAACAGCGACTGGAGAAAATTGCAATCTGCACTGTGCACACTGGTTGAGTTGGTTTGCTCAAAAGGACTTCACAAGGAGCCTGGCAGCCTGGCAACAGAAACAGTGAATATTCTAGGATAAAAGTGAGTACTGAAAGGTTCTTCTCCGATTGAACAACGTTGCGCTGATACGCTTCGAACTTTTGCAGCACGGTTTTCTAGCCATTTCGATGAGTGTTTGCTTGTGGTAGAGAACATTTCAGCAATTCGTGCTAGCAGATCTGCGGCACTGGTCTACTTTATGATGCTTGCCACGGCCGGGGAAACACCTTCTGTCCAAAGTCCTGGCCAGGTTGCATGCTTGCGGCTAAGCGAAACACGCAAACAAACCAAGCATGACACAACAAAACAAAACAAACAAACAAGATGACAGACAGACAGACAGACAGACAGACAGACAGACAGACAGACAGACAGACAGACAGACAGACAGACAGACAAACAGGCAGGCAGGCAGACAGACAGGCAGGCAGGCAGGCAGGCAGGCAAACATACACAGACACAGACCGGACAACAGACAAACAAACAAATCAACAAACAAACAAACAAACCAACACACACACACAAATAGTTTCCACATGACAATTATACGTCATACGTGGATTTCATTGGACCTGCTCACCAGAAACTCCTAGCAAATCTCAGCAGTCGTGATAGTAGTTGAGCCCCGGACCTCGAAGGTGTGGTTGGCATCCCGCTTCTGGTCGCCAACCTTGGGCCATCTTTTTCGAAGCAATGCTTGGCCTACAACAAGCAATGCAACCCAGTGCTCGCATCTCAGCTGGCGGTCGACAGCCGAAAGCGGACAACCGAGTGCTCCGCAAACAGGTTGCACCGCAATGTAGCCCCTGCCGGAGCATAAAGGTACAGCCTCAGTCTCTGCATGGCTAGGCTCAAGGCCAAGGTGCAAAAACAGAGTGTCAACGGCTGCATGCTGACTGCCAGTACAGAAACACAACACCTCACTCTGGCACTAGGCGCAGTGAACACCGACTATTGAGCTGACCAGTTGCTGATGTCAATTCACATGTTGTTTCATCTTGGTCGGCGAAGCAATGAAAAAAGCAACTGGAAGTCATCCCAGCTCAGGCTCTAACGAACAAAAGCCGTCAGTAGCGCCGTTGTAGCCACACGGATAGAAAATGAGCTGCATACCTCAGCTGGTGCTCCATCGGCGTGTACCACGTAAGGTTTCCGCTCCCGGCCGCGAAAATGCGGTATTTTGCAGCATCTTTGTCTGAATGTTTTACACGAGAACCATCAAATTCCAGCATCGTTCTCAACAGCCCCCAGCATCGTGTTAAACCCCTCGGCATCACAAGAAGCTTTAGCTCAGATGTTTGGGGTTGGGGGGGCTTGGGCTCCTTTGGGGTGTTTTAGGTGCTGATTAGGGTTGGGTTGAGGGTGGGTTTAGGTTTTAGGCAGGTTTAGTGTGTTGTATTGCTGGGTTAAGGTGGGTATAGGGCTGGTACAGGGTTGGTTTCGGGAGCGCTTGGGGCTGGCTTAGGGTAGGTTTGGGGTTGGTTTCGAGTTGGTTTAGAGTTTGCTTAGGGTTTGTTGAGGGTTGGGATGGGTTGGGTTCAGGTTGGTTTAGGGTGGGCTTGAAGCTTTGTTAGGGTTTCTTTTTAGGGTGAGCTTGTTTTGGGCTGGGATGAGCGGTGGTATAGGGATTTCTAAGGGTTTGTTTTAGGGTTGGCTTGGGGAGGGTTTAGGGCCGGCATAGGGTTGGCTTAGGGCTTGGTGTGCTTAGGATTTCATGGTTTGGGGCTTAAGGTGGGTTTAGGGTTGGGGTTGGCTTAGGGTTTGGGATTGGCTTAGGGCAAAGCAAACACCAAAAGTCAGCCTGAAAGAAATAACACAAAGCAACGAAAACAAATCCTGAAACACAGGGCCCTCTACTAAGTAACTATGTCTAACACAGGAATTCAATTAATCTGCTCTCTGTTTGCTGAGCGCTGCGCCCTCAATGCCAGCAGCGTTGAAGGATGCACTGCCTTCTGGATGCAGCTTGATAGGCACTAAACAGGGAAAGTGGAGGCGATTCTTCAAGCATCCACAACCATCATGATTCCCTGCTCTTACGACGCAACGCAGCAGCTACATGACCAATCACAACTATGCAAGCAGCACATCGAGCATTGCCTGCGACGACAACAGAACATCCACCCACACACACACACAGCACAAACACACACAAAGAAAGAAAGACAGAAAGAAAGAAAGAAAGAAAGAAAGAAAGAACGAACGAAAGAAAGAAAGAAAGAAAGAAACAAAAGAATAAAGAAAGCAAGAAAGAAAGAAATAAATTTTAAAAAGAAAGAAAGAAAGAAAGAAAGAAAGAAAGCAAAAAAGGAAAACAGAAAAAACAAAACAAATAAAACAAATACATAAAGAAATAATCAAAGACAAGACAAGACACGGCAAGCCAAGAAAGACAAGAGAGACAAGAGAGACAAGAAAGACAAGAAAGACAAGAAAGACAAGAGAAAAGGATGAAAGGAACACACAAAAAAAAAAAAAAAAAAAAAAAAAACAGTTAAGCAAGAAACAAAACACACATGCGTGTGTGTCTGCGTGTGTGTGTGTGTGTGTCTGCGTGTGTGTGTGTGTGTGTGTGTGTGTGTGTGTGTCTGCGTGTGTGTGTGTGTGTGTGTGTGTGTGTGTGTGTGTGTGTGTGTGTGTGTGTGTTTCTGTGTGTCTGTGTGTGTGTGTGTGTTTTTCGTTGTGTGTGTGCGTCTGTATGTGTGTGTGTTGTTTGTTTGTGTGTCTCGGCGTGTGTTTGGTTGTTCATGTGTGTGTAGCATAAAGTAAAGCAAAGTAAATACAAACGTAACGTGTTGAAGTAAATACACGTAACGTGCTTAGAGTAGCAAAGCAACATGCCAAAAGCAATGCTCCAAGCCCCAGGCACATAGACTCGCCGGGTGGGAAGCACTTCCTCAGTGCACCGTCATGATCCCTTCCGGGCCTTTCTAATGTGCTACCAATATGGTTTGCTTTGAAGAGTTGGCCATCAATATCCGCCCCTGCGAACTTTCCACGGGATATAGGCTTTGTCAACTTGAATTTATCAGATCTGCCAACTGGGCAGCTGACCGGAGCATGCCAGCCTGTTCCAGGCGCCACCTGGGCTTGTGCAAGGTGCCTCTTTTTCCGTTGCTGCTGAGGTTCGTGCTCTACCCGCCGCACCATTCGAGACCGCATAGCGTCCACCTGAGCTGCCAGGAGACCAGCAGAGCAAATCAATGGAAATGCTTCACAAAGAAAGCTTGTGTGACAACAGGGACTCGGGAGGCCTTTAACTTGCTCTCCTGCCTGGCCCTTGACCTGGTCGAAGAGACGGTTGTTCACATGCCGTCGGAACCTTGATCCAGTGCGGTTGAAGCGACAAGTAGCCTAAAATCAACAACAGGATTCCCAGCAAAATCAGCCTTGGAAACCTCTTTCACCCGCCTTAATGGAAGCCAACGTACAAGTTGGGAAACAATCTCATCGCTGTTGGCCTCTGCTGACTGAGTTTGGTGCAGCAAAGACCCTGGGAGCTGCTTTGCTGCCATCTTATCGGCATGTTCCTGCCCACCCACAGCTGATGTGAGTGAAAGTCAGTACTCGACCGCGGGATTGGACTCGGCATCTGTCGGTCAAACCACTTGACAAAAACGGCAATCTCTCCTTCTCAGCCTGCGTGGCACTGGCAAGCTCCTGAAACCAGCGTGTCATCAAGAGTGTGTGGACGGGGGGGGGGGGGGCAGACTAAGAACTTTTGACGCGCGGCCTTCAAATATGCAAAAATGCAAAGGGAGATAGACCAAACATACTGCTCGAGCAGTTTTGGGCAAGCTTCCGTGTTTTGAAAAAGCACGTGCGTCACGTAAATGAAGCGTGTGTGCCACATCGGCCACTAGATCTCAGAGCTTGGCCACACAGCCCCAACGCAGGCCCGCCTCTTCCGATGGTAGCTGCATGGGCTTGCAAATGAATTCTACCTCTCTGACCGCTTCGAGGATCTCGCAGCCTGGCGATGCCAATGTCAACGCAGTCCACAAACTCTTTACCCATTCTAGCGATGTACAACGATGCACTGTAAGATGCTTGGTTCAGCATCACATTGGCCATAGCCCTCGCCTTTGCACCACGAGCACAACTAGCTCCCGCCTATTCTGAGGGTGTCGTCCTCTCTGTTGATCTGGTCTTTCAACCAGCAGAAGCGAGTGGTTCCATAGGGCACCTGGGGGCAACCACCAGAGTATTGCAGCCACACAATATGTCACTTGATGGAGCCGCAATGTTTGCAAACGTAAATTGCAAACACCGCCTTCCCGTTGAAGACCTTCTCGCAGGTTTGGGACTTGCCTGTGCAATAGGACTTGCCAGGTGTAGGAATAGTGCACAGGGTACTCCAACACATGAGGCAGACACCTCCGCAGAAGAGCTTGAAGACCAAGTTCCTTCAGCACAAGCCAAGCATATTAACTTCAGGCGAGCAGGAAGCTGGGGCTGTCTACTTCTCTGTGATCATGAGGGAAAACATGTTGACCGCAGCACGTATTATCTTGACACACGGTATAATTGCGGAGCAAGTTCAACATAGTCGTTGTTGACACACTGCCTTCGAGGCCTCTGTAATTTGCAGTCTCTTTTGCTCGTCCGACATAAATGGACAGCAAGGCAGGATGTGGCCAGCTTCGATAGCAGTGGGGGGATAATCATGTACGGCAATAACGAAAGCATTAAAGGCGTGCACACGGACATAGAAACCAGCGCACACACGACCTGACCGCGGAAATATGTCTGCGTGTGTCCTTGTTGTGTTGCGTGGCGTGCTTTCTGACTGCGAGGGTTTTCTTCGCGGGATGTTCAGCGGTTGTTCTTGCTAGTGTTTGCAGGTATCGTTGCTGGAACTTTACTATTGAAGGATGCCGTTTGAGTAAAGGTGGGGGGACATGATGTCAAAGGACGATGGCTTGCCAAACAAGAATGAGTTAAGTTGTGAGGCCATGGATACATATGTTTGAAAAGTGTGTCTTCTTTTTCCGTAAGGTTTAGACTTCACCGATTGCCAATGGCGTGGTTTTTGCAAATCCGCGAAGGCAGACCGTATTGCTTGTTTAGGGTGCCTCCGTTCCTGAAACACAGGCCCTCAAATAAAGCGTTGAGGCCAACGTTTCATAACATATCTGTATGTCTCCGATGAATGAAGCACCTTGTGGCACGGACTGGACAAGCCATGGCGCAGCAATAGCAAGTCAAAGCAAAGGGGCAAAATGTGGCATCGCGTTGCAGCCAATCCTAGCCAGTCGGCCCAAATCTAACTTGTGCCCTCGAGTCCACGATATGCGCGCTTCCCAAACATGCTGATACGCGTGAGCTTGGCAACACCACAAGTTCACCAGCTCAACCTACTGCAGTGCTTGCGCCTCAATCAAACTTGGCCCGCGGCATTCCTTTGCAGGCCTCAGCATTGAACAATCTTCACGATTCACTGTCTTTGTGGAGAGGACGATAAGGTTGTTGTCTACGGCTGCAATTGTGGCTGCTGTGGCAATTGTAGTGCCGCTGCTGCCGCTGCTACTGCTGGTGTTGCTTTTGATGTTTTGTTGGTGTTGCTGTTGGTGTTGCTGCCATTGTTGCTGTTGTTGCTGCTGTTGCTAGTTTATTGTTTTTTGTTGTTTGTTGTGTTGCGCATTGCGAGTTGCAGGTTGCGTGCTTGCGTATTGC